CCCCGCTCCACGCCCCCACCCCCAACCCCCACGGGCTTTTCGCAATAAAAAATAGTATACGCGCTTCGGCGTCGAGCACTTCTCCGCCTTAGCACGTAATATACTATTGGACCGTGTGATGAGTGCAATTTTTCGTCAGAAGGCCCGTAAACCGCGATCAAACCGAGCGAAGCGAGGTTAGAATCGCGGTTTACCGGGTCTTCTCACGAAAATAACTATTTGATGTATTCAGACCGTGCGCCATGGTCGTCCCAGACTTCGAATTGATCTGCGAAATAATGCTGGTGGCTGAGGGATTCCAGGAGGCACGCTTATTGGCTCGAAAATTCATCACGCTTTACACCCNGATATCCTTAAACGTAGTTTACGCTTACGTCTTTCTGTGTGCATTATAATTAGAATTGCGAAGGGATAATCATTTGAATTTTCGAATTTTAAGAGCATCCTCTTCATGATACCCAGTAACTACCCGTTATAAATCCAGAAGTAAAAAGATTGTTTTCGTCAGAAGGCCCGGTAAACCGCGATTCTAACCTCGGTTCGCTCGGTTAGATCGCGGTTTACGGTTTCGCTTCTGACGAAAAATTGCATTCATCCCGCGGTCCAAAAGTATTTTCTGACGAATGTGGCTTTGTAGGCCGAGCCGAAGGCGAGTTAATGTAAATAATTATGTGGAAAAAAAAAAAAAAAATTCTAAGAGAATTAGAATTTAGAGAGAAAAAATTTCTGCTTCACCCAGCCGGGAATCGAACCCGGGTCTCCCAGATACGCGCCGGGCACTCTTACCGAGTAAGCTACCGGGAACCACAGAAATTCACTCTCAAATTCACATTCATCAGAAAATACTTTGTGGACCTTGTGATGAAATAGTTATTTTCATCACAAGGTCCAGAAAGTATTTTCTGACGAATGTGGCTTTGTAGGCGGAGCCGAAGGCGAGGCCTATAATCACATTCGTCAGAAAATACTTTTTCATTGCTCAAGCCCAAAAAGGGCTCTTTTACCGACGGTAGTTAAGCATGAGAAGTAGGTCTTTTTACCGTTGAGCAGTATAAAAGTGAGAAATGCACTACTTAGGAGTGAAAAAGTGAGAAATGCACTCCTTAGGACTGAAAAACGTGTGGCGCCACCCAGCGTTAATGTACCAAAATATAAAACTACATATAAAAACTGATAAATTCAGCCAGTGAATCCCCTTCATTATCTTCAAAATTGTTAAATTTTAAATTTGAAAATNGATGTATTCAGACCGTGCGCCATGGTCGTCCCAGACTTCGAATTGATCTGCGAAATAATGCTGGTGGCTGAGGGATTCCAGGAGGCACGCTTATTGGCTCGAAAATTCATCACGCTTTACACCCTGTGTCGTGAACTACTGTCGAAGCAAGACCATTACGACTGGGGACTGAGGGCAATCAAGTCTGTTCTCGTTGTTGCTGGAAAATTGAAACGTGGCGATCGCCATCGTCCCGAGGATCAAGTTCTAATGAGAGCTCTCAGGGATTTTAATACTCCAAAAATTGTTACTGACGATACGCCTGTCTTCATGGGACTCATTGGGGATCTGTTCCCAGCGCTCGATGTACCGCGCAAGAGGGATCTTGATTTTGAAAAAATGATTCGGGGAGCCGCTGTCGATTTGAAGATGCAGCCGGAGGATGGCTTTGTTTTAAAAGTAAAAGCATTTCGTCAAGAATATTTTCAGAGTTTTACTGCCATCTTTTTATGTTAAGAGGAGATCGCACAAAAATTTCAATTGTTCGCTAATGTATGGATGGAATTGAATCTTTTTCTCGCAAATGTAGGTATTGTTGAGCCCTATCTATCTCCATTAATTAAAATTTAATTCACCGTTTATTTTTTTTAATTTTCGAATTTTTTCGAAAATTGGTTGTTCCACGATAACTGAAAAAAATGTTCTGAAGTGATTGAATGATGGCTTAAAAAATTTGTTTGGATGTCCTTTTCACCGAGTCCGAAGATGGAGGCGATAGCAATAATCGTCATTTTGATTTATTTGAAAATGTGATGTTTCAAATTCATTCAAGTATGTATAAATAAAATTTATGTATAAATAAAATTTCTATCTCTTGGGGAGAGATAGAACCGTAAAAAAGACAATCGGTTGTATAGAAGAAAGGGATAAGAATAATGATGATGATAACATTCAACTAAGTTGATAATCTGATAAAATTAGGTAAAAAGAAATCTTATTCAATCTAATTAAATGAAATAAGCAATGAATTGTACGTAACAGAAGAAAATTATGTGCAAAATAACCATTCGGAAGAATATTCCCCATTTGTTATCCCAAATTACTGTACGATATGCGATACAAGAACAATTTCTCACTTGTCTTACATTAAAACTGAAGCAGTAAACTCAGCAGAGCGATAAATAAAAGCCCTTACGATTCCGAAATTTCAGTGCGATCTCCCCTTTACATAAGGATATTAACTGAAACATATTAATTCGTATTTCGTATAATTCGTATTTTTGTTCATGATAATATCTTGATTTTCTATAACTTTTCCAAATCAAAATAAAAGAAAAGGCATTTAATATTTGTTATTTAATCTCCTCACTCCACCCTTTTAATCCTTCAATAATTTAGGTTGTCCAATTGGAAGAGCTTTTCAACGTGAGGCATTCTGTCTTCATAGTAGGTTTCGCTGGAACCGGTAAAACTCAAGTCTGGAAAACCCTCTTCCGGACGTATATGAATCAGAAACGAAAGCCCTACTACAATGACCTCAATCCAAAAGCCGTCACCAATGACGAGCTCTTTGGAATCATCAACCCCGCGACTAGAGAATGGAAGGATGGGTAAATTCATATGATTATTCAGTAAGAATAGTCCACGAGGAACGGAAACCGTGACAACGATTTAATTAAATTTCATTAATTTTCTCAGTTCTCAATTCTATTATTCTAAGGGAGAAATATAATTAGTGCTACAATTGTATTTTATTGTGACACAGGATGTCATCTATTAATTCTTGATTCTAAAAAAGGCACTAGATTAGATCAAGATTTCCATTTTTTGTCGAGATATTGAAAAGAAACCTTTAATATAATTATTTTTTATAAGTCTTTCCGGACGTGCCGGATCCGCTGTTTCCCATTTCACTTAAAATAGCATAAACATAACTGAAAGTGGAAGATGAAAATCTAAAATAAATTCTAAACGGAAGTTGATGCGAATAAAAACATTCTGGTTGTGATCAAGCTCAATTATCAGTCTAGTATTATTAATAATATTAATTATAATTGATTCAGAAGTAGCAAAATAACACCGCGTCTTACGAGATTGGACAGAAAATTAAAATGTAGAAAAAATCTTAGAAAAGATTTATTTATTTAGAAATCAAAATTTTTTTTTAGACAACAATAAATGAAAATGTTATGTCTGATACGATTATTATCGTCAGTGTCAAGCTGTTGTGCCGCGAATGTACGCCAGAGTCAAACGAGCAACTATTGTGTGAGAAAATAATTTTAGAGAGCATTTGATGAATTAATTCTTTACACTCATCAACGTTAAAATTCACGTAGGAAATTATCAATGATGAAGTGCTTTTCATCCGACATTTTAAATTTATTTTTCCGCACTACAATCAACGACTTGGGAAACCTTTAATAGATTTATTTTCTACAAATCATTTTCGGACGGGGCTGATCAACTATTTCCCTTTTCACTTAAAGTAGTATAAACGTAGCTTAAATTTTTAAAATCTGAAATGAATTCTCAACGGAAGTTGAGTCTAGTATTATTGATAATCAATAGATCGGAAATATTATAGCAAAATAACTTGGCGTCTGATGAGATTAGAGAGAAAATGAAAATGTAGAAAAAATCTAATAAAATTAGGGAATAGTCAATAACAATTTTATGCCAATGGAATTTTAAATTTATTTTACCTCAAGGACTAAATACACTCAACGACTTGGGAAACCTTTAATAGATTTATTTTCTGCAAATCATTCTCGGATGTGGCTGATCAATTATTTCCCTTTTCACTTAAAGTAGTATAAACGTAGCTTAAATTTTGAAAATCTGAAATGAATTCTCAACGGAAGTTGAATCTAGTATTATTGATAATCAATAAATCGGAAATATTATAGCGAAATAACTTAGCGTCTGATGAGATTAGAGAGAAAATGAAAATGTAGAAAAAATCTAATAAAATTAGGGAATAGTCAATAACAATTTTATGCCAATGGAATTTTAAATTTATTTTACCTCAAGGACTAAATACACTCAACGACTTGGGAAACCTTTAATAGATTTATTTTCTGCAAATCATTTTCGGATATGGCTGATCAACCATCTCCATTTTCACTTAAAGTAGTATAAACATAACACGAATTTTGAAGATGACAATCTCAAATAAATTCTTATCGGAAGTTGATGTGAATAAAAACATTCTGGTTGTGTTCGTGCTCAATTACCAGTCTACTATTATTAATAATAATTAATCCAAAAGCGGCAAAATAACACTGCATCTCATGAGAAAATGCGTTTTTCGAGATTAGAGAGAAGATTAAAATGCAGAAAAAATCTAAAAAAATTAGAAAAAAATAAATCTAAAAAATGATGAGTGTTTCGATGTAAATGTTTAATTATTCCATCGAAAAACCTAGATTATTCTCGGTGCTAATGAGAGACCAAGCGAATATGACTGGCGACGGACCAAAGTGGATAGTCTTTGATGGAGATATTGATCCAATGTGGATAGAGTCCCTCAATACAGTGATGGACGACAATAAAGTTTTGACTCTAGCCAGCAACGAGAGAATAGCCCTGACTAAACACATGAGACTACTCTTTGAAATTTCGAACCTGAGAACAGCCACTCCCGCAACAGTTTCCAGGGCCGGAATCCTCTACATTAATCCCCAGGACTTGGGATGGAATCCGTAAGATGTTGCACATTCCATGTGGACAGAAAAATAATTTGACATCTCATTTTGAAGTGTCTAGGAGCCCTATCGATGAAAATATTCGCAAAAAATATCATAAAGTATTTAGATTTTCAAATTTTTATTCCGAAACTCCGGGTCGTGTGCCGCGTAGAAGGCGCATTTTCAGTAAAACATTGCAAATTTAAGCTTGAATATATAATTACGGGTAACACTGAACACACGGAAAGAAAAATTTAATAAAAATCACCAGAAAAGTAACGTAAAAATTACGTTTCGAAACGTAATCCGCACGCGAAGTAAAATTCAATAAAAAGTGCGAGTCGGAACTGAAATTGTACGAATCGCCACGTAAATTCAACGATTTGTTCCGTAAAAATTAATCACCCGTCTGATGGCTCACCGCTGTGGGGACAACAAGTCGCTCCGTAATTTTTCCCCAACGATTGAGAAATTTTACGGAACGGAACGTAGAAATAACTCACCAGCTTCATAAAAATTGTTGAACGTTCAAGAATTTTTTATTTTCGAGGCACAATAAGTCGGCAAGTTCCTGTAAGATTTTAATTCTTCGGAAAAAATTACGTGACAATTTCGTACTTTGTTCGGTGATGAACCTGATAATTCACAAATTATCAGGTTCATCACCGAACAAAGTACGAAATTGTCACGTAATTTTTTCCGAAGAATTAAAATCTTACAGGAACTTGCCGACTTATTGTGCCACAGAACGTTTCAGATTTCTTCTCTTCCATCCCTATAAAAATTGCCGGAAAACGACTGCCCATTGCGGACTACGTGAATTGATCCGTAATTTTTCCTGAATATTGCTCTCCGTGTATGAAAAATCCCACGGGAATTCGTCACAATGGATTATTTCAGAGTTTTCCTATTTTTAGCCTTCAAATTTATCATCATGTCGATTTACAGCTCGACCAACAGAGTATTAAATAGTGAATATCCTTCATTTGATCATGCATCAGGTACGTAACAAGCTGGATTGACACTCGCGACGGAAGCGAGAGAGCGAACCTCCTGATCCTCTTCGACAAGTACATCCCCTCGCTCTTAGAAGCCTCAAAAATTAAATTCAAGAAGATCACACCGATCCCGGAGATATGCTCCATAGAAATGCTCTGCAATCTACTGGATTGTTTTCTAACCCCCGAAAATCTACCCCCAGAGTGCCCTAAAGAGTGGTACGAACTGTACTTCTCCTTTTCCTGCATTTGGGCATTTGGCTCCCCAACATTCAAGGATCAATTAGTTGATTGGCGCAACGAATTCAGCAAATGGTGGCTCAATGAATTCAAAACCATCAAATTTCCGACTAATGGAACTGTGTTTGATTATTTCATCGACAATGAAACTAAAAAATTTTTACCCTGGAGCGAACGCATGGGACAATTTGAATTGGATATGGACATTCCCCTTCAGGCATGTGAATGAAAAAAAAATTTGTAATTATTATTCTCATTTCCAATCATCATTTCTGTATTTTTTTAAAACTGTTCATGTTAATCGTCAACTAGCATTTGTTTATTAATTATCGCTAAAAATTAATCATTAATCAGTAATTGTTACTGTTTATTAAGAATTTTGGGGAATAGTTTTGACATTATGCACGAAAAAATTTCATGGAAAAACTTGGCGAAGTCGATAGAAAATTCTCTGCGAGACAGACAAATCTTGGGTGAAGTAACACATCTGCCGATCGAGTAGAAATGGTGCTGGGAGGAAGTACCTTCACTACTTTCTGCCAGTACTTTTAGTACTTTTGGTTCACAAGTACCAAAGGTACTAGTGAAAAGTAATTTTGCGACTTCTCTCAAGTACTTTTAGGACTTAATTTCAGTATTTCCAATTGATTACTTTATTTTAAAAAGTAAATATTATTACCAGATAGAATGGGCTTTCTTACGCATTTTTGTAAATAGAAATGTTCAGCGAAAGATATTTTGTAGGAAAAAATCAATAGATTGCGATTTTTATGGATGCTTTCGAGAAATATTGGTATGCTTTCCAACCTAAAAAATTTCAATTTTGTTGAGATTTTTATGTTTTATGTTGTTATCAACATTCAAAAGGCTTCGAAAATTTATTTTCAATTTCTTGTCAATTTTATTACTCACAACGGGAATTATTTGGATTTTTGAATTTTTGACGAAATTCGGATTTAGAAGAGGTAGAAAAACATTTTTGCGTTCTTATACTCAACTTATATTGAGTTTATTTGGTACTTTTGAAAATAACCAGCCAGGTACTCAGTACAAGTAATTTTTTTACTTGTTCCAAGTAACAAAATCCTTGTGACAAGTACTGAGGTACTTCTCACCAGTACACAGGTACTTGACCCATAACACTTGCATCAAGTTGTTTTGTAACTTCGAGGAAGTACACAGATGTGCCGTTTCCCCCCGAAACCCTTTGGTACTGGCTACAAGTACTTTTGCTACTGATCAAAAGTAATTTTTTTTGGGTGAATTGCCTTGGAAACAAGCGTTTCCGGGAAAAAATGTCGGAAGGCATTTTTAATAATGCAGTGTTGAATGTTACTTTATTCTGCAGTCAACACTGGTCCCAACGGGGGAAACTACTCGTCTACGTTTCTTTATGGATGTATTAATGAAGAAAAGAGTGCCGGTTATGCTGGTGGGTAGCGCTGGTTCCGGAAAGAGCGTCATAGTAAATGAGAAACTTTCATCTCTCCCCGACAATTACAACATCGCAAATGTTCCCTTCAATTATTACACTACATCCGGTGAGAACATCAGAAAGAAAGCGCGGAATGAGTTGTTATAGTCTGAATAACCCGTCGAATTTATTCATCAATTCTTGTATGAAATAACAGAAATGCTGCAACGGATTCTTGAGAAGCATCTCGAGAAGAAAGCAGGTCGTAATTATGCACCACCGGGCACGAAACAGTTGGTGTACTTTGTGGACGATATGAATATGCCGGAAGTCGATACGTACGGTACAGTGCAACCCCATACGCTGATCCGCCAACACATGGACTACAATCATTGGTATTTTTTTTTCGTTTTTATTGGAGTAATAAAATTACTGCAATTGACGGTTTGAAAGTTTTAATTAAATTTTATCGGAAATAGAGGTGCAGGGGCACCTAAAATATTCTGAAATGCTTCATACGCTAATAGAATTTTTTTTTATTTAAATCGCAGCTGCATGTGAATCATGGGAATTTCAATTTGGTTTAATGTTAAATCGTTCGGGACATTTCATATTCATTTTGGAAATTGAATAAAATTGAGTTTTTTGGTGGTGAACAATATTTCATGTTTCAAGGATTGTTTTAATTTTCGCGATTATTAATAGAATAGAATACTTTATTTCCTTGAGGCTACTGTTACAGTTTTACATCTACGCAATTATTAATATTTTTTAACGGAGTGTGAATGAGACAATTCCAATTTTATTGATATTTCAGACATTAAATCGTTAATTAATTGTTTTATTCTATTCAAGAATATTAGTCTCAATTTTAATGTTGTATGTCACATTTAAATGAAATATATGAAAATAATACTCTCAATTTCAAAATGAATTTTTAGAATTCAATGTTTGTTGATATTCTGTTCACACGGTAGTTCAATTACTCTGTTGTTCATCTCAAATATAATTCCGTGCTTAGAATATTGTGATCTCGTGTTTTCAGCGCCAAATTAAAAATTAAAACTTCATTCATTTATTCACAGAAATTTTGTATTTGAATATTAATATCATTTGTTCAAAGTGAAACAATCGATCATCATTTTCACTATATTGCATTCAGTAATCTCATAATTCTAGCTATTAATTCTAATCAACTTTGTTCGAAGAAAACCCTAGTAAACGCAATATTAAGAAAGTAGAATTATTCTATGATCCTCTGACCCAAATGATTCGGACAATTATGATTCGTTTACTCATGTTTCATAGATTGGCATTAAATTCTCTTTTATTTCCACGCAAGACTCCCATTGTCCATGATTTTTCCTCCCGAAATTTAGTAATAGATCCCAAAAATTAGAGATGGAGAACTGTCACTTCTCAAAAACCTCTCGCATTTCTAACCCCACCTAATATCAATATCAATGCTCCCATTACAAATCTCCCCCAGGTACGACCGTGCGAAGCTCACCCTGAAGGATATTCACAACACTCAGTACGTATCCTGCATGAACCCAACCGCAGGAAGTTTTACGATTGATCCGCGCTTACAGCGGCACTTCGCAGTATTCGCCGTTAGGTAACATCCTAAATAATTCATAAATTTCCCCTCAACCCGTCATTCTTATTCCAAAAATATTTGCCATCAGTTTCCCCGGTCGCGACGCCCTAGTAACAATTTACAGTCAAATGCTGCAGCAGCACTTTACAAATCCTCTCCAAAAAATCAATACAAGCCTGCAAAAACTCGTGGAGCCACTCATAAATGCTGCCCTATTTCTCCACGACAAAGTGACGACCAACTTTCTACCAACAGCCATCAAGTTCCATTACACATTCAATCTCCGTGATTTGTCGAATTTGTTCCAAGTAATGTTGTTGTTTGGGTGGAAGCGGTGGTGAATGCCAACCGCTCGATATAGCCACGGTTATACAAATATATAGAAGCAACCCACTCTAACACTATATTGCAGGGTTACCTGTTTGCAAACGGCGAAACAATTCCCAATTTGAGTGCTGGAATACGCTTGTATGTACACGAAGCCACCAGAGTTTACTGCGACAAGTTGGTTAATTTCGAGGACAAAAGGGCCTTTGAAGCACTCCTCCAGGATGCAATACGGAAGAATATATCGGTTGACATTCTACATCAATTTGAAATTCGTCTGGGTCGTATTTGACCACTAGTTAATGGATAATAAGCATTTGCATTTCCGTTGCAGGAACTGGAGGAGACGCCGGTGTTTGCCAAACCCATCATTTATTGCCACTTTTCCGAGGGAATGGGCGATCCCAAATATATGCCAATCAGAGAATGGCAGCAGTTGATTAAATTATTGGAGGAAGCTGTGCTGAATTATAACGAGTTGGTGAGCAAATTTTGCGATTATGAGCGCAAGATAATGCACACTGAGAGAAAAATATAATTCTTCTGGCTATATTCCATTAACATCGAATTATAGTCAAAAAATCCTCAACAATTTTTCATGGGTTACGGTAACTATGGCCGGAGAAGTAATTACTACAATGGAATGTAGTCATTGCAACTATTTTATAGTTCTCCTCACGATAGATTTGTCGTGGTTACTTTTGAACTTTGGTTAGTTTAACTGCATTTTGATTTGCAAAAATTACGCTTGTGAAGTTACTATAATGTTACGTGCCGCATACAAAAAAAAAATCGTATCGTTCACCAAAATGCCTCAACTATTTTCTTATTGTAAATCGAACTTCAGATTTTTCTCTCAGTGCATGGGGCGGATGGTGCCTTGTAGGTACACGCACGAAATTTTTTTTTAGAAAAACCTATCGAATTCGTTAAAAAATTCTATTGAATTTCTATTCAACTTTCTATTAGTTTCTGGCTAATTCTATTGACATGTTCAATAGAAAACATTTAATAGAAGAAGTCAACAGAATTCGATTTTTCTATATAACTTAGTCTTTTCATATATTTTCTATAGAATTTGGTCGACTGAAATTTTCTAAGTTTTTTTCATTGTATTTTTCTTTTCTTCTCATCAAGAAAATCAAACGAGAAAACTTAGAAAATTTGAGCAGGGGAAATTCTGTAGAAAATATCTCAATAGAATAAGTTATATAGAAAAATTGAATTCTATTCACTTTTTCTACTGAATATATTCTATTAAACATTTCAATAGAATCGGCCAAAAACCAATAGAACAGTTCAATAGAAATTCAATAGAATTTTCTACGGAATTCGATAGGTTTTTCTATTAAATTTTTTCGTTCGTGTATTGTCTCATCATGCGGCGGATACTCTCGCGTCTTGTCTTGTGTGGACTGACGGGGGAAACGCGCTATTTTTTAAGAGGCTTCAGCATGAATTTCAAGCGCTGCATCTAAGTCGATGAACGAGTATTAATAGTATTTTGGCTGTTCCTCGAACATTTTTCATTGATTTTTCGCGGATAGAGGGTGCATACTCTGGCGTTGCTATAAAGATCGAAAATTTTTTCAGGAATTGATTAATTATTTAATAATAGGAGCATTGATTTTATTCGTGAATTATTTCTGTTGTTTAAAGAATGATTTTGATGAATTCAGTCTAATGAATTTTCTATTACCCAATAATCAGGTTGCGACGATGAATGTAGTCGTGCTCGAGAATGCAATGTAGTATGTACAGACAATATAATTTACGTGATCGTTTATTCGAACTTACATGAATAAATCAGTAGCGAAGTGGTAAAACGGTTCAAGTCGACTCATCTCTTAGTTGAGTTTAGGAAGGAAGAATATCTCTGAATCTAAAGGGGATAATGGAATTTTCGTAACATCCTTTTATCTAGGGCAAATTGAGTGCTACAAAAAAGGTCCTAATAAAAATTTAACCATCTCCCTTAGATTCCGAGACATTCACTGAAAACTGGATAATAGTCCAAATCGACTTGAACCGTTTCACCACTTCGCTACTGATATAATATGCTTTTATCGAGAATTTTTCACTGCATGGAGAGATTTTGCTTGCATTAATCATCTTTCTGCCATGTCCAGTATAAAATATTCGTGAATTGAGAATATTCCGAATTCAATTAGTGAATATACACTAATGCTGAGTTGGATGGATGAGAGCACGGAAAAAAATCTCAATTGGGGGATGAGTATTTCAATTCGAAAATGATTTTTTTGTATCAGGCCGGGTTGCAGCAAGCCCTCTTAAGTGTAATATAAGGGTCAAGCACTAATTGTCAGAATATGAGGGTCAAAAAGTGGAGGTTAACAAATGAGGGTCAGAATGTTAGGGTCGAAACATGAGAGTCAGAATATAAAAGTAAAAAAAGTGGGTGTCAGCCAATGAAGGTCTAAATATAAGTCATATATTATGCTTGATCACCGTTTTTAGCCCTTATATGACCCTCATTACCTGACACCCACTTTTTTATTCTGACCCTAATTTTTTGGTCCTAATAGTCTGACCCTCTTTTTTTAACCCTAACATTCTGACCCTGATTCCTTCATCTTTACATTCAGGCCCTCAGTTTTTGACTCTAATATTCCGACCCTCATTTTTTAACCTCCACTTTTTGACCCTTATATTCTCATACTTAGTGTCTGACCCTTATATTGCACTTGAGAGTTAAAGTATGAGTTGAGAGTATATTTTATACTCGAATGAAAACACCCATTCCCCATTCGAGTATAAAATATACTCAACTCAAGTTTTTTTTTTCCGTGAGTAATAGGAGTTCATTTAAGAATGACATAAATCTGATTATTAAATTATTTGTATCGTTTGAATAATCATTTTGATGAATTCAATCTAATGAATTATCAGTTAGCAATAATTGCTTGTAGCGATGAATCCAGTCATATTTGAGGACGCAAAGTGTCATGGATATATAATATAATATACGTGATGAATTATTTGAACTTACGTGAATAAATAATATGTTTCAATCGAGAATTTTTCACTGCACGGAGGAATTTTACTTGCATTAATTCTCATTTTCATCATAAAATCTTCGCGAATCGATGATAGCCGTACGAATTTATTTAAGAATGACATGAATTTGATTCGTAAATTATTCATGTCGTTTGGAGAGCGATCTTGATGAATTTAATCTAATGGATTTTCAATTACCAAATAATCAGGTTGCGACGATGAATCTAGTCATGTTTGAGGATGCAATGTGTCACGTCTGCCGAATAAATCGTATTCTCGAGTCACCAAGGGGTAACGCACTGTTAGTGGGTGTTGGAGGCAGTGGAAAGCAATCTCTGTCTCGTCTGGCCTCCTTTATTTCAAGCCTGGAGGTATAGTATAATACCGAGCAAATTGTCACACTAGACTTTGTCAAACACAATTTTCACCAACTCAAATATTGTCTCTTTATGTAGTACTGTCAGTTCATTTAATTCCGGAGAAAATCCACAGGGAAATGTTTTCAAAAGACTTTTTCATGAGTGTCCAAGTGGAAATAAGATTACGCGAGAGTAATTTGGCGAAAATCATCGATAAACAGTGTCATTTGAATTATATTCAGCAGAAAACTACTTTCATTCTACACTAGTTTAAACTTTCAACTGTATTCAACTACTTTTAATTCTCTGATTCGCAATACTATCCGTAGCACTAAGCGCGCGTTTGAATACACAAGTCCCAAATATAAAAATTTTTAAAAGGAATTTGCTGATAAATAGGATGAAACAGATTTAAGGGGGAAAAGAAGCAATTTAAATAAAAAAAATTCAAATAACACATTTCATTGCTGTCAATCTCCAAATCATGAACAGGATAATTCTCAATATTGGAAGACCATTTTCGTTCTACTTATTCATAATTTTTTTCTTTTTCTTTGCTGAAAAATTATCTGGATATATTTCACAATTTGAAGTTATCTTTCTTTGTTTCACGTATTTACCAGGATTTCCACATACACTTTTCAATAAACTTTCATTGTTTTCTCTTTTTTTAGGCACTGACTCTTTATCACTGATATTTTTCCTGTTGTTTATCTCTCATTATTTGTTGTCTATCTATCAAAACTTCTGTTACGTATTACGTGAGAATTTTTAGAGGGCCCCAATAGCTTTGCAATGCTTATCACGGTCCTGACCTGACAGGAGTGGGGGGGGGAGTCACGTGACCATTTCTCACGAATCGCGCGATACGGTTCTATGGCCGTCAGAGGAATAATGGTGATAGAAATTGTTGAAAAGGTCGCAAAAAATTCATTTTTGGCAAAATGACGATTTTTCCTGTAGAAAATTTATTTTCATTAATCATTCAGCAATTATAATTTTTTGATGATTGTATAAATCTTCTTGAAAAAGTATATTTTCGAATTTGAGAAAGCCTTAATTTTTAAAGGTGGAAAATAATTAAAATTTCAACGCACACTGGCCAAATTACTTGCATATCCTCAATCCAAAGCAAATTTCCAAATTTAAAAAATGCTGAAAAAATTACTATCCTTGAATAAACATTAAAATTGCGTCGCGAATATGATAAAAGTGTCTATGTTCACCCGAAAGTTTTCAAGATACAGCCGAAAAACTTTTTATTTCATCAATTTTAATTTTTGTAGTCTCTCCCAAACTATTTGAGCAAAATAGATTTTTTTTTTTATTTCCAGCTTAAATTCCCTTGCAATAAAATTTCTATCTATTTTTTCTATCTATTTTTTTTTTAATTGAGAATGCTTTCATTGCATTCAATAACATCATCTTCAATGAACAAATAGTTTCAGGTTCTTCCACTAATAGTATTCTCAATTCCAATGTTTAATTATCTTCTCAAATTCAAAATAGCACTTCATCCTCAATTTCAAAATAAAATTTTCACCTTCACAAAATGCTTTCGCCAAGGTTTTCCAAGTGCAACTGCGTAAAGGCTACTCCATAAACGATCTCCGCGCCGATCTGGCGGGTCTCTACCTAAAAGCCGGCTTGAAAAACATCGGCATAACATTCCTCATGACAGACTCCCAAGTAGCGCAAGAAAGATTCCTGGTAGTTGTGAATGATATGTTGGCCTCCGGCGAAATCGCTGAATTATTTGCCGACGACGAAGTGGACAATATAGTGAACTCCGTCCGAAATGAGGTTCACCCTCCACCCCTTCAAGTTCCTCGAATTCACCGGATCCACTACCCGATTAACTTGTTCATTATTAATAGGTCAAGCAGACGGGAATGATGGACACAAAAGAGAATTGCTGGAAATTCTTTATCGATCGTGTACGGAGGCAACTGAAGTGCGTGCTGTGCTTCTCACCAGTTGGCGCAACACTTCGGAAGAGAGCTAGGCAGTTTCCGGCCTTGGTCAATTGCACGTCCATCAACTGGTTCCAGGACTGGCCCCGAGATGCCCTGGAATCCGTTTCCGCGCGTTTCATTGCGGTGATTTTCGCTGATATAAAAATATTTGCATTCTGATATGAGGGGAACAAGTGGGCTGTTGTATTTTATAAAACTCGATGCAGTAATTTTTGCTATACTCTGAGATACAGAGATCCCCTACCCCTCGATCACTCGCACAACGAGCGCAGCCCCGCCCGTCAAAAACTCTGAAAAAATCAGAATCCCGAGTTCATTCCTTTTATTAAGCGCTGGCGTTGTCCGTTTTTTTCTCCGGAAATTTGTTGAGCTAAAAAAGAAAAAGAAACGTCAACCGGACAGGCATGCGGCGCCGCACCGCCCGGTGCGAAGTCCCTGTCGATCACTCGAGCGGCAGTGTTGCTACATTCAATGTCACACTTGGAATGCGCGCGTAGCGGTAAGCGCCAACGTGACAACAGCGCGCGGTTTAACTCAGCCGCACTGCGCTAACCGTGCGATGGGTGAAGGGCTAGTCATAATTACATAATTATAAGCGTTCTCTTGCATAGAGTTTTATCCAGTTCATTTACTTATTCAATCTTTGTTACGATTCCGAACAAATGATTGTTATACTGTAAAATTGATTCTTTATAAATTATTTACAAAGAATGCTGGTAATTTTCAAAAATTGCAATTTTCAAATTATTTCATCAATCTTCCTCCAAAACTTTTAAATTCATTTTCACATTTCAAAAATGTATTGTAACGGTTCAATATCGACATTCAAATTCAGACCTGTAAAGTTTGAATAATAAAATCATTATAAAATGAATTTCAGGAAAAAATTCCAAACAACGTAGTCACGTGATGGAATAGCATAATATTCTGACTCTTGATCTCAAAATTAATCATTTCAACCCAACCCCTGAAAACATTTATTTTAAAAACTATAATGCAAGCAATCACAATTCGTAAGCAAAAATCCTTCCGCAGGAGTTGAAAGAGCTGCCTCGTTCATACCGCAGATCGGTTTCTCGTTTCATGTCCCACGTTCACTCGAGTGTGAACGAAATATCCGAGATTTACCTCCAGAATGAGAGAAGATACAACTACACAACCCCAAAATCATTCCTGGAGCAGATATCCCTGTACTCAAAACTATTAACCGAGAAAATAAACAACTCCCGTGGAATGATTGAACGACTGGAGAACGGATTAACGAAACTGGCCTCTTGCGCCGAACAGGTAACAAACAATTGCCCGGTAGACACGAGAGATCGATAAGCCCGAGGAAGGTGGGCAGAGAATAAAAGCCATTTTCAATTTTCTCGCACGAACTAATCCAACTCGTACTTCCTCTCACTTTTCATATAAAATCCCTCACAGGTAGACGAACTGAAAGCGATTTTAGCTGTTCAGGAAGTTGACTTGAAGAAGAAGAACGAGATTGCTGACAAAATCTTGGCTGAGGTGACGGAGGAGAACACAAAAGCGGAAGTGGAGAAAGCGATAGGTAACAAACTCACTAGATTGCATGAAAAGTTACTGAGGAGTGTCATTGAGACTGGGTGGGTTGGGCGGTGAAAAAGGAATGGGATAGACGTATAACGGGGCTGATTGTTCTCCATTGCGTTCTCAAAAGTTTCCGAGGAGGAAGTGAAGATAGCTGAGATTAAGGAGAGGGTATCTGAGAGGCAAAAACGATGCGATGAGGATTTGGCGAAAGCAGAGCCAGCTGTACGGCAAGCTGAGGCTGCATTGGACACTCTCAATAAAGCAAGTCTTATCAGTTTTTCCGGGGGAATGAAATATTTTAGAGTAGCTATGATGTCCTTACAATGAATGATTTGCGTATGTTCTAATTCCTATGCTCATTGAATAAGATCTTAATCATAATTACAATTCAATTCCTTCGAGAACACAATTTAGAGTGTGAATTTCTGGAATTCAATGGTTGTTAATACTTTGGTGAAAGTGCGTGCACACATTGTTATCAATTTTTAGTTAGTTCACACGGTAATTCAATTAATCTGTTGTTCATCTCGTCAATATAATTCCGTGCTTGGAATATTGTCATCTCGTGTTTTCGGCACCAAATTGAAAATTAAAACTTCATTTGGAATATTGAGTCACAGCTTCTTTTTATTCATATCAGAAATTTTGTATTTGGATATTAATATTATTTATTCAAAGTGAAAAAATCGATCATTTTCACTATATTGCATTCAGATTCTCCTATCCTTAACGTCAAAAATGTGAGATAATCTCATAATTCTAGCTATTAATTCTAATCAACTTTGTTCGAAGAAAACCTTAGTAAAGTGGAATTATTCTATTTTCTTCTGAGCTAAATGATTTGGACAATGCTGATTCGTTTATTCATGTTTCATAGAATGGCATTCAATCCTCAATAGACATTCACCATTTTCGAGTTCTTATTTTCGATTCGAGATATTGCTCAAACTTTTTTTTAGAAAAAATAATTTTTGCTCCCCAATGGAAGCTTTGTAAAATTTAATTCATCGATTAGTTTTTTAAATTTTTAACAACTAAAAAAAATGTTTTCGAATTGATTGAATGATGGCTTAAAAAATGACAAAATTAATTTAAAAAAAATCTCATTAAATTCAATAAAATGAAATAAACAATGAATTGAACATGACAGAAGGAACTGATATTGATAATTTATTAGCAAAAATAACTATACTATATAAAATACAGAAGCAATTCTCCGCCTGTTTAATGTTTAAATTCATAAGTTAATTGAATCAAGTGATTTAATAGTTGATTCAATAAACTTATCAATTTGTGTAAAATGAAAACCAAACAGTGCCTGGCCGTGTGAAATATGTCTGTTGGGACGGACGTAAGGATGCCTCCGATGATTAAACATTTGATATTGTTACAGAACAACCTAACTGAACTGAAATCCTTTGGCACACCACCGGAAGCCGTTGCAAACGTTGCACAAGCCGTACTTGTTCTCTTTTCCCCAAAGGGCAAAGTCCCGAAGGATCGAAGTTGGAAAGCCTGCAAAGCGATGATGGGCGGTGCTGATGCTTTTCTCTCAGCACTACGAAATTACGACAAAGAGAATATTCATCCGGACGTTGTGAAAGCCATACAACCGTATATCAATGATAAAGGTTGTCGTCTCTTGTCGTCTTACGCTTCATTCATACTTCAACTCATTCGCGTATCGATCCAGCGTGTAACGTATATCTCTCTTACCCCAGAATTCGAGCCCCAATTCATCTACTCGAAATCTCAGGCCGCCGCTGGTCTCTGCAGTTGGGTCAAGAACATTATGGTCTTCCATTATATCAATGAAAGCGTTAAACCACTGAGGCAGGCGTTGGCGCAGGCTAATGCTGAATTGAAAACCGCCATGGAGAAACTCACATCGCTACAGTCTCGGTTATCGGTGATTAATGCTCGCCCGTCGTCAATCATTAATTACCAGAATCATTTCAACTGTTTGCATTGAATATTTCTAAACTCATTTACGTCAGCTCGAGAAAATGAGAATTATGGAAATTTCGGAGGAAAATCTAGACTCAAGTTTTGCAAGTTTTTTAGATGAAGAGATCATCACGGAAAAAATATACTTGAATTGAGTATAAAATCAAGTATACTTGATTCAAGTATATTTTATACTCAATTCAATTATATTTTTTTCGTGATTTTTCAATTACGAAATCCCCTAAAAGATATGGAATTTGATTCCAGAAAAATGAAATGCTTGGAAAAACTGAAGGGCTGGGGGGAATGCAAATGGAACTGAATATTCATGATTTTTTCAAATTTTTCTCACGCAATTCAGTGGCGAAGCGGTAGACCGGGTCAAGTCGATTTTGACTTTCAGCCAGTTTTTGATAAATATCTCGGAATTTAAAAGAGATAGTAAAATTTTTCTCATGACCTTTTTTATAACCCTCGATTGGCTGTACAAAAAAGGTCGTAACAAAAATTTTTCTATCTTCTTTAGATTCCGAGATATTCGTCAAAAACCGGCCAAAAATCGACTTACCCGGATTACCGCTTCGCTACTGAATTTAATTGACAAATTTGATGATTGGAAATGGTTGAATCTATAGTGTGGTCTGTACCAAACTGCAAAAGGTACTTGAATATCCTCGAAAGATATATTTACCTTAATTTCCCTAGCGTTCGCCGAATAATTAATCAAATTATGAGAAAATTAATGAAATATGTCATTTTCCAATAACGAGATTTCCCCAAATGTCACCCCGAACATCACTTCCTCTAAATTTTCTGAACTTAAAACGTCAAATTCAGACTAAAATTTCCCGAAATAATTAACTACGTCTCTTGTCATTCAACGAATTTCAGGAATTGCAAAAAGTATTGGAGGTCCTGGGTGCTAAAATGAGTACAGCACTTGGTGAGAAACAAAAGTGTCAGGACGAGGCAGATGCAACTGCCTTGACAATTGACCTTGCCAACAGATTGGTCAATGGTCTTGCGTCGGAGAAAGTTAGATGGATTGAAACCGTCGCCTCGTACGTATTTGAAAAACCATGAATGCCCACCCATTCCAAAGATTTTTCAGTTCAATTATTGTCAAATTCTGAAAAATGGGGAACATTCAGAGAAAAATTGGAAATTCATGTAATTTTGTTTCTGAATATTCATGTCTCACTAAAACTCATAAATTTCCGTGAATTCTACTTAAAAATTGAAATTTCATAACCATTTTTTCCCTAAATTCGATTCGATGTCACTCTCATGAGATCAATTTCTACACTGTTAGAAAATTACTGTTGACATTTCAAGTGAAAAAGCTTCAAATTTTTAACAACGACAAAGTTACATGAAATTTCTTTACAATTCTTCCTTAACAAATCAATTAATTTCTTGAATATTCAAATAATTCTCGATTTTCACGTTTTACCCATTTTACAGCACCGAAAAACCTTGAAAATTTCGAAAATTCAGATAATAACTTCTCTGAATTTTCAATCTATTGAAAATTGAATTGTATGTGATGTTCAATTTTCACGACGAGTTTGAAAATTCAAGCTTTCATTGAAAAATCAACGATCCTTCAGCATAAAAAACCCAATTTTCTCAAATTTTCAAGAGAATGAAAAACTTAGTGAACGTTCTCATCCAAAATTTAATTCAACCTCCCAAACTTGAATATTCAGATGACAATGTGACCGAAATTTCAGGCAATTTCTACCAGTGCAACAGTCTACAAAAAAAATCGTCCTTCGCCTCACTTCCCCTCTAGCTTTCACCCAAAACGTCTCGAAATCCATTTTGCACCGAATATTCTTCTCCCTGAAATCTTGACATTCTCATTAACAACTCCCCTGCACATCCCCCGCACGACCTCCCAATCACTGTCAATATCCCGATAACAACTACGAATCGATCAATTCCCAGGCTAAAGTCGTCCAGTGTAACAATCCCAGGGGACGTACTCGTGGTGACAGCATTTATATCATACGTCGGTTGTTTTACACGAAAATACAGACAAGATCTATTGAACATCCACTGGTTACCCTTCCTGGATAAATTGGAGACCCAAATACCCCGTACTCTCGATTTAGATCCACTCTCTTTGTTAACCGACGACGCGCAAATTGCACAGTGGAACAATGACGGTACAGTCAATTCATCTGTATTGCCAATCCAGCTTTCAATGCACCAGCGGAATGAGAGAGCTTTTATTGTTTAAGCCCGTACTATTCTCCCCAATTAGGTCTACCAGCTGACCGAATGTCAGCAGAAAATGCGACAATCCTGACGAATTCAGCCAGATGGCCCCTAATGATTGATCCCCAATTGCAAGGGCTCAAATGGATCAAAACGACTTACGGTGAGAATTTGAAAGTTCTGAGGCTGTCGCAGCGAAATTATCTTGATAGAATAGAGTTTGCTATATCCAATGGTGACGTTGTACTACTGGAGAACATTATGGAGGCCGTTGACGCTGTATTGGACCCAATCTTGGGTAGAGTGCTCATAAAAAAAGGCCGGTGAGTATATTTTATTCGGGTAATCTCGGAATGATGAAGTTAATCCATCTTTACGACAGAGCCATCAAGATCGGCGATAAAGAAGTGGATTTCAGTCCCAAGTTTCGTCTGATCCTCCAAACTAAATTGGCAAATCCACATTATAAACCAGAGATGCAGGCACAAACGACACTGATAAACTTTACTGTCACCAAGGACGGCTTGGAGGAACAATTGTTGGGTGATGTTGTCAAGGCTGAGCGTCCAGACTTGGAAAATACAAAGGCCGAGCTCACTAAGCAGCAAAATACGTTCAAGATAACACTGAAAACGTTGGAGGACGATTTGTTACACCGTCTCTCATCAGCTGGGCCAAATATTCTCAGTGACGTTGCACTGGTCGTTAATCTCGAGACAACAAAGAAAACAGCTGCTGAGATTGGGATAAAAGTTGCTGAGGCCAAAGTGACTGCTGTGAAAATCGATGAGGCACGTGAATGCTATCGTCCAGCAGCATCCAGGGCTAGCTTACTGTATTTCATTCTCAACGATCTTCACAAAATCAATATGCTGTATCAGTTCTCTCTCAAGGCCTTCAGCATTGTATTTCAAAATGCCATTAAATTTGCGGAGGAATCGGACAATCTTGCTAAGAGAGTTGGATTATTGATCGACAGCATCACTTATCTCGTTTTTATGTACACGAGTCGGGGATTGTTCGAGAGTGATAAACTCATATTTTTGTGTCAAATGACTGTGCAGGTAGGATATTGTTGAGTTATTTCTGGGGGAAAGGGGTAGAAGGTTAATCGAAAAATTCTCTTTTACCGGTCAGCAGCGAAGTGGTCAAATGGTTTGTCAATTTAGTCTTTAGTCGAGTTTTTCAGAAATATTTACTAATTTAAGGGAGATGGCGAAATTTTTATAATAACCTTTTTTGTAGGGCGAATTGAGTGCTACTATAAAGGTTATGAGGCAAATTTTGCTATCTCCCTTAGATTTCGAGATATTCATTGAAAACTGGGCAATAGCCAAAATCGAGTTGAACCGTTTGGCCACTTTGGTACTGAATTGTAGTGAAGTTTATTGTTCTGGTGTATATAAGTTTGCTGTGCAATTAACCCGCTGACCTGCAAACAGTGCAAAACCGCATCGGTTTGATGGCCGCCAATCACAGCCCCTCGCGCGATGCGGTAGTGACATGGTCACGTGAATATTCTCTCACTCCTCTCGCGTGAGGTCCGTTGTAAGTATCGCAAAGCCATTGGGGCCCTCTGCATTTTCTCACGTAATACGTAATAGAAGTTTTGATAGATAGACAACAAATAATGAGAGATAAAAAAAGAAACAATGTCAGTGATAAAGAGTCAGTGCCGAAAAAAAAGAAAAAGAATGAAAGTTTATTGAAAAGTGTATGTGGAAGGCCTGGTAAATACGTGAAACTAAGAAAGATATCTTCAAATTGTGAAATATCCAGACGATTTTTCAGCAAAGAAAAAGAAAAAAAATTGATGAATAACTAGAATGAAAATAGTCTTCGAATATTGAGAATTATCCAGTGCAACCATTTGTTGAAAATCGACAGGAATGAGATGTATTATTTCAAATTGCCTCTTTTCTACCGTAAATTTGTTTCATACTATCTACGAATAAATTCCTTTTAAAAATGTTTGTATTTGGGACTCGTGTATTCAAACGTGAGCTCAGTAAATTGAATTTCTAAAAATAAATAAGAGATAAATTGTAGAACAAAACGCAGAGGAAAGTCGTATCGCCAAGTGTTTAATGCAAAAATAAAACGCGAAGTCAATTTTTATTATCTAGGTGAGTCTGAAATTATCATTAATTAATATAATGAGGGATTGACAGGTTAATTTCACGAAAACATTTCGAAATGAATTCATGAAACTTCACCTCTTTCGCATTGAATTCGTAATACATCTTGATTATTTATATTTGAATATCTGAATCGACGAAAGAATTCAATTGACCCACATCTCCAGATACTCCTGCAAACCAATGAAATTCAACCCGATGAACTTGACTTCCTTCTCCGATATCCCTATAAACCGAATGTCCAGAGTCCTGTCGACTTTCTGAACAACACCAGCTGGGGTGGAATAAAGTTTCTCAGTGGAATAGACGATTTCCGGAATCTCGATCGTGATATCGAGGGCGCCGCAAAACGTTGGAAAAATTTTGTTGAGTCAGAGACTCCTGAGAGGGAAAAATTCCCACAAGAGTGGAAGAATAAAACGGCTTTTCAGAGATTGTGCATTTTGAGATGTTTGAGGCTCGATAGGATGACGTATGCGATCAGGTGGGGTACAATATACATGAGGAAAAATTTAATGGAAGAATCTAGTGAATTGCTAGAAAATTCTGTTGAGTTGCGCTTTTTAGTAGTTTTTGGTCGATTCTCTTGAAAAATTCCGCAGCTTATTTGTGATTTTTTTTAATAGGAATGTTCAATGGGAAATATTCTATAGAACAAATTAATAGAATTCAATTTCTCCGTGCAATTTATTTTACTGAAATGTTTTCTGTAGACATTTGTTGGTTCAAATTTTCGAAGTTTTTGTTTGATTTTTTTCAATGAAAAAAGAAGAAAAATGAAGTGGAAAAACTTTGGAAATTTAACATTCGAATAGAACAATACAACTTATTCTATTGAAATGTTAATTAAAAACTGTGCAATAAAATTGAAGAATTCTTTAACAGAATCCACCAAAACCGGATAGAATTTTGAATAGAAGTTCGACATTTTTATCAGCCGAAAATATATCTTAATTTCATCTGATTTTTTATTAAATTTATTATTTCTCATTAAGGTGCTTCGTGGAGGAAAAAATGAGCCCGAAATTTGTTGATTCACGTACGCCACCGTTTGAGAAATCATTTGAAGAAACAAGTGCACTAGCTCCGGTGTTCTTCATCCTGTCGCCAGGCGTTGATCCCTTAAAAGTATTGACTCCATTCGTTAAACAAAAAAATTCATTTTGTCTCATTATCACACGCTTCAAAAATTTACTTGAGAACCTAGAGCATTCGTGGGAAGTCTATAGGCTGAACTCAACAAATTTTTAATCAAGATAATTTTATCGAAAATTATTTCTATTCTATTGGCAGAAAAGGTTCAATAGATGGGGCTCAAATTAAAGCTCCGATGTTCACCGAGAAAAATAGAAAATCATTTCACTGGAGAAAAAATGGCCAAAGTACTTGGATATCCTTAAACCCAAAAATATCCACTTAAAAAATCGCAACGAAAAATCTATTGACTTTTTTTGACAAACATGACCTGGGAATGACTGTCCTGTAGAAATCCGCTCTTAAAAAAATAAATTCGTCTCCCAGGAAAATGACTCACCGACAAAAGTATTTTTCTTCTCAGTGTCTAATAATAAACAAACATTCTTCAAGGACGTGGAAAAATTAGGAAAACAACTGGGCTTCACATTCGACCGAAAGAACTTCCACAACGTATCATTGGGCCAAGGCCAAGAGCCAGTAGCTGAGGAATCGATGGACGTGTCAGCAACGGAGGGCCACTGGGTAATACTCCAGAATATCCATCTCGTGAAAAGTTGGTTGGCAAATTTAGAGAAGAAAATGGAACAGTTGTCCGAACACCCACACGTGGAGTATCGTTTATTCATCAGTGCAGAACCCAGTCCGGATCCCCATGAATCAATAATACCCCAGGTACACCGAAATATTTCCAATCCAGTGTGGATTCGATCATTCATTATTTCACTGTATCGGGTCTTAAATGGCTTTCTACGTCAACAGGGAATTTTAGAGTCCGCTATAAAGATAACGAATGAACCACCTACGGGTATTCACGCAAATATTCACAAAGCTTTGGACAATTTCAGTCAGGCTACTTTGGAGTCTTGCTCCAAAGAGTCGGAATTCAAAGGTATTCTCTTTGCTCTGTGTTATTATCATGCTGTCGTTGCGGAGAGACGAAAATTCGGACCTCAGGGCTGGAATCGAGTGAGTTTTCACATGAAAAATTATCGTGTAGGATACATAAAACCTGTTTCATTCAGAGATTTTTTATAGAATGGAATAAAGTATAGGCTTCGTATAAGATACCTTGGGGACAGTAGGAGACTGGAATCCCGGGAACCCCTATGCCCCCACTACGCGCGCCCATAGAGAGGAGAAAAATAGGGATCAGCGGGTTTCAAATAAGACAACTCGCTCGTTGCGCCCGAATTCGGTTAAATTTTCATTTTTACTGAATGAATATCGATAACTAATTAATTTATACGTGTTTAATCTTCCCTTTTCTCCCTAAACGCAACCCCGCGTGATAGAATGGCAGCTGATATTGGGGGATTGTTGGTGGACTCGAGAATAATCACAGACGAAAAATTACGATTTTTCGATGGGAAAAATGAAAAAAAAATCGAGATATTTTTCCATTATTGTGGGGTTTAGGAGTCTCCCCTGGTTCAAAAATCATCCTTAGAATCATTTGCACTATATTTCAGCACCCACTCATGCACTCGAACCCCATTAGACAAATATGAATATTGTTGAGAAAACGTTCACATAAAATGTTAAAAACTATTTATTTCATCATTTATTTGCGTCAATCTAAACTGATATTTGTATTCAACGGATTAATATTGAGAAAATTATTTCCTAGTCTACTATCTGCATATCACTTATCAATTGATTCGATGTGGCTAGTTCATTGTCTAGATTTAATTTGAGAAGAAAAAGTTGAGGGTCCGCGATCCCCCATATATCCACGGTAGAAATTACCTTGAATCCACGGGAAAACGTCCCGTATATCCACGGTCAAAGTTACCGTGGAACGTGTGAATAAACACTGCCACGATTTAAACACATCCAGAGGTGTGCAAATATTTTTTACTCCTGTACAAATTTTTTCGCGCTTGAAAAACATGTGCACATGTGATTCCTTGACTCTCACCCCTTTAAAAATCCCCTAAATAGAATCTTCCCCTCGTTTCAGGTTCATTATTTGCTATCGATCCGGGCTCTCGACACTGATCCCGCATTCCCATTAAAAATTCAGACTAAAATCCGGTATTTATAGAATATTCTCCCATCGGAGCAATCATGTTCTCTTATCGAACCGTGTTGTTCTCCAGTTATCTCCGCCAGTCATCGCCCTTATCCCGAAAATTTCGCGCGTTATCTCTGTTTCCCCAAAAGATTGCACATTCCCCAAAAAGTCGAAAATTCCAGATCTACCCATTCAACGTCGGCGACCTCACAATCAGTGTCTCCGTCCTCCACAACTACCTCGAGAGCACCACGAAAGTACCGTGGGAGGACCTCCGCTACCTATTCGGTGAAATAATGTACGGTGGACACATAACAGACGACTGGGATCGTCGTCTCTGTCGAACATATTTGCTCGAGTATCTTCAGCCCGATCTTATCGACGGCGATCTCTATATCGCTCCGGGTTTCTTAGCGCCACAAAATACCAATTATGCTGCTTATCACCAGTATGTAGATGACTATCTCCCGCCCGAAAGCCCAATACTCTACGGTCTCCATCCTAATGCCGAAATCGGTGAGATAACGGTCAGAGAATCATTAAACATGTAATAATCATAATTGATACGTACTCTGGGTGACATTTGACGGGATGTGTAATATACACATTTATTTATTTTTGCTTCCGAAGCTTTGTAATCGCTCAGATTTAAGTTGTAATTTGTAGGTGGTCTGTTTTCTCTATTTTTTTTCGAAGTTTTCTTATAAGGATCAATCGAATTTCATGAATTTTTTCATGAATTTTCAACAGATACAGCTATCGAATTCCCTAGTCAATTCTGTTGGACTTCTATTGAACGTTTCTATTAGTTTTTCGGAAATTCTATTGAAATGTTCAATAGAAAATATTTTATAGAAAAAGTTGATGTAATTTCATTTTTCTATACAATTCATTCTATTGAGATATTTTTTATAGAATTTCTTCGGCTCAAATTTTCCAAGTTTTTTAAATTTTATTTTTCTTGTCTTTCCATCAAGAATCTCAAACAAAAAACTTAAGGATGTTCTACACCCTTTCTGCCAAAATTCACGTTTTTTTAATTTTTCTGGCAAACTTATGATGGAATTGACGTGAAAAAATATAACGTTTTTGCGTTTTGTCATTATTTAATGACTGACGAAATTTTAAGGTGGTGCGAACATTTTCCTGCGTTTTCTCTAAACTTTTAAAAAGAATCACAAAACTGTAGAAAAAACGCATGAAAATTATCGCACCACTACGCAACTTCGTGAGCCATTAAAGAATGACAAACCACAAAATCGTTATATTTTTTCACGTCACTCCCATCGATAATTTGCCAGAAAAATGAAAACAACGTCAATTTTGGCTAAAAGGGTGTCGAACATCCTTAAAAAATTTGACTCTTGGAAATTTTATAGAAAATCTTTCAATAGAATTGTCTAACGAATTCGCTATAGGTCTTTCTATTAATTTTTTCGTGCGTGTAGACTCTCATAATCTCTATTCACTGACACCAATTAAAATTCAATTCTTCATACAGATTCGAAACAATTGATATTTTTCCAAAAATCAATTTTTCAACGATCACTTAAAAAATTGTCAACAAAATGGAAATAATCATGACATTTCAATTGATAATAGTACTATGACATGAAGAAGTAAAAAAAGAGAATAGTGAAATAAGAATTTTAAAAAACAGAGTTAATTCGAAAGCAAATTGCCAAATTATGAGCAAAAATATCTCTACTATGTTGTGACCAAATTTTCCATTTGTTTTTAGAAGATTAATAATCTTTATAAAACGTCTCCCGGACTTTTCAAGTCAAAATATTCGACTCGGCTGGCCCGAGGCCCGCAATAAAAACCGTTTGAACAAAACCTCAAATTTGAATAATTTCATTAACAACATGAACATTACGCTCACCCCAGGTTTTCTCACTGCGACGGCTGAGAATTTGTTCAAAGTCGTTTTAGAGATGCAGCCGAGAGACGCTGGCGAGGCATCCGGTGGTGGTTTTTCAAGGGAGGACAAGGTCAAAGGGATAATTGAGGACCTAGCCGACAAACTTCCTGAGGAATTCAATATCCAGGAGTTCATGAGCAAAGTCGACGACTTGACACCATTCACGATAGTGGCTTTTCAGGAGTGCGAAAGAATGAATATACTGTGCAACGAATTGAAACGATCGCTCCACGAATTGAATCTCGGATTGAAGGTAAACACCTCCCTTGTTTATTCAGTACTGATTAATGTAATTGGATTCAACCACTAGGGAGAACTAACGATCAATGCCGACATGGAGGACCTGCAGAACTACTTATTTATGGATAATGTGCCTCCCTCATGGACGAAACGTGCTTATCCCTCGAGTCTGGGCTTGACTGGTTGGTTTGTTGACCTGCTAAACAGAATCACCGAATTGGCTAATTGGACTTCGGATTTCAATGTTAGTGGTTTACGTCAAGTGCACGTTATGAGTGATAAATTAACCATGAGTCTCGTTGCAGTTGCCACCGTCGGTGTGGCTCGGGGGATTCTTCAACCCTCAGTCGTTCTTAACTGCAATTATGCAGCAAACGGCGCGGAAAAATCAATGGCCGTTGGATAAAATGTGTTTGCACTGTGAAGTTACGAAAAAACAGAGGGAGGATTTTACAGCTCCACCGCGGGAAGGTGCTTATATCAACAGTTTGTACATGGAGGGGGCACGATGGGACACACAAGTGGGGGCTATTGCCGAGTCCAAATTGAAGGAGTTGTTTCCGCAAGTCCCTGTGGTCTACATCAGGGCTATCACTCAGGACAAACAAGAACTGAGAAATATGTACGAGTGCCCGGTTTATAAGACCAAGTTCCGCGGGCCAACTTATGTCTGGACTTTTAATTTGAAGACTAAGGAGAAATCTACCAAGTGGACGCTTGCTGGCGTTGCTATATTATTGCAAATATAAATTGCAGTTGGTAAATTTTTTTATATTGTTAACAATTGCTGGGAACACGAATTTTACCTTCGTTTCGATATCAAAGGAGATAACTATGCACAATTTAATGTACAAAGCATTAATTTTGGGCATGAATAAATTACAAAATGCTAAAAATTATTGGAAATATTTAAAATATTGAAAACATACACTTGCTGTAATTAACTGCAAACAATTTTGGGCTAAAAGTTTCAGTGAACGTAAAAAATTATAAAATATCTTTGTAATCACTAATTTCTGTTGAATTATATGTAACTGGGAGAAATCGGGCTGAATCTGCGTGTTGGCTACCAAAGCCTCGGGGGGGCTCCGTTCATACTTCCACGATTGTACATGGACTTGTGAAAAGTCTAAGGGAACAACTGTACTTAAAAAAAAATGTCCATAACCACATCTGTCCACCATCCTTGCAGTCGGCCAAACAGCATCGGTAGAGTAGAAATTGCATTCGTTTTATTTGCAGTCAATATTAATTATGGATTGCGCCATGTGTCCCACTATAGCGCAAATGATCGTCGCACAAGGTCCGCGATTCCATCGGGTGTCCACTGTTAATTACACCCATATGTATCCCAAGTAGACTCTTTTGAATTAACACTGCGTAGCGCAGTCTCATTTGAATTGAGACATCAATCTAATATCATTGAATGGTTTAATAAAATTGAAAATGCAAATAAACTCGCTGTGAATTTATATAATTTTATCGAAAAGTAATTAATGGAATTTTAAAAGAAAGATTTCAATGTTTGATTTTGAGTCAACGGCTGAGCCTTCACCCTGTTGGAAATTGCTGGCGATTTCTTCTGGGTCGAGAAATGGCGTGCTGATGCCTCTAAAGATGGTTTTGAAGCAGGGAAGACTCCCAGACTCCACTGGACAATGTAGTCACAACTCTGCTTTTCAATTGAAAACAGATATCATCTTTAGAGACATTTGTCATATTTAGAGGCCCTCGCACGCCATTTCTCGACCCGCTCTTTCATTTGAGCCCGAAAAAACATTCATATCTTGTCTGACATCGCTTATAAACTCTGGTTTTCAACTCTGGTTTTCAATGCAAAACCAGCTCCCCAGTCTCCACTTTGTTGCAGTGATATTGATCCCGAATAACTCTGCATGTATATTATTATCCACTGGGAGTCGCTCAATGTTAAAGGCTCCGCGCGATGTGCATGCGCTTTTCTCTCCGGATTACTTCATGATCGAGGTCTGGTGCGAACACGAGAGATTTCTCATTTGTTGGCATGGAGTACGAATGCCCGGAAGTTTCCTCAGTTATCGAATGTCGATGTTCAAATCGAATTTGTGGAATTTCATGCACGAATATTCATTTTATTGGCTCGATACGCTGCAGTCGTCGACAAGATTTTTTGTCTGATTAGACTGTGAATTTTCTACTTCAAAGTCAACTCCTTGAGCTTAAAACGGGCTTTTCAATTTTCGTATTTAATTCAGTCATTAATCATTATTCCTCGTTATATTATTCTTGATGGAATATTAACTTGAAGGCATATTTTATTTTTAATTAACCATGCAATTCTGTTACTTAAAAATTCTTACGACGAACAAATTAAAGCCGAAATTGACAAATTTGAGACGGAAAATGGTTCAATCTTGAAACAGGAGACTTACCCACGGAGAGACAAATTCAATAAAAACTCTCCTTTTCTTGCGTCCGGTGAGCGGAGAAGGATAAATATCGAACGAAAAGCAATGGATTTTCACATAATCTTGAACTTTTATTCAATAAGAACTCTACAACTGTCATATATTACACAAACAATAAGTGAGAAATAATAATCATCATTTGATAAACTATGTGTAAAAATAGAACTCCATTCTATCATACGTCGCATAAGCTGAAGGAATGTTCCAATAGTAGATTTACTCGATGAACATGTCTGACGAATGGTACGTTCATAATTCCCAAGGCAAGAAAAAATTCACCCAATTGTCCTCAGAAAACAATTCCACTCCAACTATTCCAGCCCAGTTCATCACTGGCCTACCCCTACCCGTAAGCACAGTTACTTTCCACCACGACCAAAACATTTAAACTCTTTCATCAATATATTTATTTACAAACATATATTTCTGTTATTATCGCTCTCTCTCTCGGGGATGCAACACCCAGAGAGGCATGTACAACGCAAAAATAAGAATGGATTCATATAAACTTAGTACGGAATAAATTCTCTTTGTCAATGAATAAGTAAATCATTCCTACATGCTTTCACAAAACATTTTTCTTCATCTTTATCGACAGTCTTTAGGCATTTATACACATCATAAGCCCTCATTCACACAGCTCTTATGCGTACAATTGCGATATAATTAATTAGTGCTGAATCATAGATTTCATTATTGTAAATAATTCTCTATATTCTCATAATTCATGAGTGATTCAAGTGAATTATTCACCCGGTACTTCACGTGCGCATGACAACCCAACGCAATCGAAAAGAATCTCCTAAAACTCGTATGTCACTGCATTTATTATGTCATCTTATAGACTCCATTCAAAATGTTAAACATTGAATCTGCAATAGGTATTCTCCCCTCAATAATCATTATCACTCTGTTAAAATCCCTTAAATCTATCATCACGATATACCGAGTTTTTCATATGTACAATGGGCCCAACAATTGGGGTAACGACAATTATCCATAAAATTACTTAATGTTAATTCGTATAATAAATCATCCTGTTATCAATTATTGATATTAATTGAATTCTCAAAACATTAAAAACCGTCTCGAACCAAGGGCTTTCGAGGGGTCAAATATCAATGAAACATTTCAATGAACAATGATTCGTCGGAGTTGATGAGTAGTTTCATTACTCAGTGTGCGTTAAGGAGAGATCGCACTGAAATTTCGGAATTGATGGTGTCTTCATCTATTGCGGTGATGAGTTTGTATTGTTAAGAATTTACCACTGAAATTTCAAGGAATTGTGTCATTGAAAATTCATAATTTCATGGAAAAATCCGTGGCAAACAAAAATTTCTGTTTAATTTTTCCAGGAAAATTGATGAAAAATCAGGAAAATTTTGAGAATATTCACGGAATTTGGCAGTGAATATTTAGTTTCACTTGAAAATGATGAAAAGGTGTGATGTTTTAAACGAGGTATCAAAAAGTAGAAACTTCAGATTTAGAATTCACTCATATTAATCATGATAATTACTATCTTTTAATAAATAATCCATAAACGTGGAAAATCCCATGTTTCTACGCTTGCTCATTTGTCTCCATGCACGTTTAACACATGTCCCAATCCTCGTCTCGTGATGTTTAATCCCATTTTACTATTATCATGGAGATATCAACATTTTAAAATTGTGAGCTTCTTAACTTATGTTTTAAGAATTCACTCTGTCATAGCACCACTTGATGTGAATGGGATTTTTCTCCCTGATTATTCAATGAATCACTGTTCATTAGTGTTGACAAATTTTCTTATTAACTAAAATAATAACACCAACCGTACTTCACTCTTGATAGACTCTTGGGACTGTCAAAATGATTAAAATGTGATGATTGGCGACATCTGAACGAGCATAGATACATTTACCCAACAGAATATTATGCGTATTTTTACCGACTCGAATGATTTAGTCTACCATCTTCCCCTCTTTTGTAAAATAAAAGAAAGTTGATTGTCATTCTCTAATGTCAGGGAATAACTTCATGTGTGATTCATCATTGTACCATGATTGATTCTGAAGAACGTTCAATAAATGCGCCTCTTCGATTGATCCTGAATTACTATTTAATTAAATCCAACAATAAATTCAGAGAATTGCGTCGTGAGGATAGTTTTGAAGATTCTATCAATGAAAAAGAAATCAAAACCTAATGTTTGCATATTTTTCGCATAAAAACCCAAAAAAATTAGTAAACGCATCAGCCCGATAGATAAAGTCACCTGCGAATTTGAAATTTCAGTGCGATTCCCCTTAAACCGTAAATAGTACCTACGTAAAAATTATTTTATGCTCCGAAAAAGTAAGTAATTGTGAGGATGAAACAAAAAATAATGAATTTTGACTCTCACTGCTCCTGAGGTACCTTCAGAAGAACAGTTCTGGTGCCTTCAGCGTCTGATATATTGATCTTCAATTCATTCGTCAACGCCTCGAGTTTATCCACAACTCGAGCGCCTGGCTCTACCCCGGGCTTTGGTGGTGGCCATACGTCATCCAGCGGTGGTTCAATGTACTTCTTACTCAATTTACTGTCCGAAAATTCGGTTTTTTGATTGAGCGTTCCGCCCACGTGACTCATGCTAGTTGTGTACTTGCTAGGCTGATCGTCGTCGTAGCGCGGTCGTTTGTAGAGCGGAACTTGCACAACAGGGCTGTAATCGTGGTCTAGTAGACCCTCAACTTCTTCTAGTAGTTCGCCGTACTGTTGTAGCTCTTCGTCCATCAGTTGTTTTGTGAAGAGAAGGCTTCTTGAGCGACCTGGAATTAAATCGGCGTTTAGTTGGTGAAGATAATTAAAATCGATTGGTCGTTACTATTCCTGAGGAATATGTATAGTTTATTTCACGAGATTCAGAGATCCCATATGATGGGTACAGTAGTATATAGAAATAACAAGCTAGCTTTATTTCTGTAGTATATTCTGTACAATGATGTGTTCGTTTGATGTCATATATTCTTGTCAATTAATCATTTAATCATTCTTCCATTCATCCTCACGCTCTCTTAAGATATCCGCTCGCTTTTTTAACACTTCAATCATGTAGTAGTAGGAGACTTTGCAAAGGGAAGCACGCGTTGAATATGTAACATCAAACGAACGCATCATTGTACAGAATATACTACACTGAGAGAAAAACAAACACGTTGTCAAACAAGTCTTGTCTGGGCCAATAAAATCGCTAGTTGAAAATTGTCAAAAAAAAATTTGTTTGGTTCGAATTTGAAAGTCTCAAACATGAATAATTGTTCTGCTTTCGACAGCAACGAAATATTTGGCTCAAGAGGCGGATAATTCACACCAGACGGTGCCTTCTCAGGATGAAAATATCTCATATAGAGGAAAATTTATCAACAAATATTTTATCCCTAAGTCACAAGATTGCTATCATATCATTATTATTGTTTCATTTAAGGGTTCATTTCTTGTCTGTGATTATTAGACAGCCGAAACGAAAAACTACTGTCCCTTGTTCCGCATAAAACAAAGATTTTTTGGGAGCAAAATACGTATGGGAGTATCGAATAATGAAGGAGTAGTCCTAGAAGTGACATTCCTTGCGTGTACAGAGAATGCAATTTTTTTTGAACTACTAAATCTATTTTTGCGACGAAAATTTTTCATTCCGGCGCAATCTCTCCATGTTTGGCAGAAAAAAATCCTTTTTTGATAATTTTCAAAAAACTATTTTCTTGGCACAAGTAAGACTTGTTTGAGAAATTTGTCGTTTTTCTCTCAGTGTACGCATGAATTTTCATTATGTTGTAACAATGAGGGAGATGTTAATGAAATCAAGTGAAAGAACGAGTTAGGAGAGAACCCACAAGTGTTATTCTTAATTTTTGATACATTTAGTTCCGTTTCGCTCTCTTCTGATAAATTCATCATATGATATCGGATAAAGTGCAATTGCACAAAAATGTTCAAAGCCTCTCGTTCTTATAGCTCTGACTTCTACTCCTCAGTTATTTTTCTAGAGATATATAATGAGTATTAGCGAGCGAACTCGAGGGATTGAGGTCGAAAGACTTCTTGAAGCCATGCATTTCAGATGGAAAAACGAGATCCAGGGCTCATGGCCAGGTAGAAAGTAGTTGAGTGACTTTTTTTAAATTAATCATTCAGGGACAGTCTCTCCAAATTTCCGGCTGTCCGGGTTGAAGACAATTTTCTATCTGTCAGCCTTCAAGTCGAGTATTGTATCCTCACTGTATTATGCATGCAATGCTGGGAGTAAACTTTCAGAGGATATGACTTTGGAAAATCACAAAGATGAAAATTTCCTAATTGATAATGATTTATGGTATATCCCAAGACAATACCACAAGTTAGCCTATGTATTTCCGGAAAAAATTCTAAATGACTTATTATTTTTGCATTCTCATAAGTTACTGAATTTTTCTATCTTCGTGTTTTTTATGAAGGCAAGAATAACTGTTTGAACCAAATAAGAAATTTGTTAATTAATTATTTGAATCAGATAAGAAACGATTTCACGATTTCCATTTTTCAGAGTTGAATATCGCAGGAAGTATGTACTAGAAAATTTAACAAAAATTCACCGTACTCGGAATTTATCAATCTACGACGGATTCCTTTTTTAAAAACGTCGTAAAACCGTTTTCTCCATCATAGCTACGGCTTAGCCTATGCCTCGCGTGCTAGAAGCCCGCATTTCATTATTTATTATCTCCTAAACTGTGTAGTACAGACAGTTCAAATATTTTTCAATAGCTGGGGAATATTATGACCATTATCTACGAAAAACATGGCGATAATCCCAAGAAAAACCTGTTTTCTAGAGATAAACATTAATTGAAAGCTATTAGCAAGTGACTGACATAATTTTTCCTGCCATTCTACACTCAAAAAAAATACTGTATCGCGTCACTCAAGTTCACGCATGAATTATCATTTTTCGATAAATTTTGTTATATACCTGCTTTTTTAAACGTGAATAATGGAAATATTGCGAATATATGATGTATCGCTGAATAAAAATCTGATCAAGGAAAAAAAGTTCAATGTGCTGTGTTTTATTTTTAAATCATGGATATGGAATTGAAGCACGACAATTTTTCAAGGTTCAAGTTTGCATCGTCAGCGATAAATTCATCGGGAAAGAATTTCATTAGTCAACTTTCGTTGGGAAATATTAATGTTATTGGCCTCTCATCGGATCTCGAGGACAAACAAATTTATTCGTCACTGCTGCGTCGAGAATTTCGTGGGAATATTCGATTTGGTGTTATTGAAATTCATTATAACGAATTCTGCATGTTTTTTCAACTCTATTTACCGTCATGAGTGATAACACTGTCAGGTGAATATACCATCCTATTTCCACATTTTTCCTGTGATATGGCCATCACAAAACAAAGCAACGAATTAACTGAACCGTAGGATGTGAAAGGAGCGAAGGAAGTCAAAGAAACAGAATGAAAAAAATGGAAGACAAGAGAAGCCATGGGCCTTTCACAATCTTCGCGAGGTCAATGTCCCATTGCGACCCACCAACGCGAGCCGACACGCGTAGGAATACAGTTATGATGGATCACTCTTCAACTGAATGATTTCAAACTGCATTTTAAATGATGAATCGAAGAAATTCAACGGGAGAAATGGAGAAAGCACTAGGGAGTCGTAGTAATCTTGAATAAATTAATTCAACTTGAAGGTCAGAGGAAAAATCTTGAAAATGGTACATGATGCAGGTCCTCATGAAAACTTTGCTGTTTTCCCCAACTGTTAGAAAATAATTGCTGAAATTTCAAATTAACACGAACAAAAAAAATTCATAAAAACATCTAGTGAATTTGATAAAAATTTCGAATGGAAATTCTATTAGTTTTTGGCGGATTTTGTTTAAGAATTTTGCAGGGTTACAGCTCTTTTCGTGCCGAATGTGTAATAAAAATTATTCTATAGAAAAAAATCAGTAGAATTCCATCTTTCTAGTCAAATTTTTTTACTGAGACATTTCCTATAGAAATTCCTCGATATAAATTTTTCAAGTTGTTTTCACTCCAATTTAAGCCGATGAATTTCGATAGGAAATATCTGGATAGAATAAGTTGTACAAAAAAAAGAATTCTATTGATTGTTTCATTAAAATATTTTTGATTGAACATTTCTATAAAAAAAGCAGCAGGTAAGCTGCTGAATTTGTTAAGAGAATCAGCCAACAACTAATTGAAAGTTCGATAGAAATCTAATAGAATTTTCTAGTGAATTCGCTAGGTTGTTCCATAGAATTTTTGCCTACATGAGAAATCGCGAAATTTTTAACGTTTAATGCTCATCCAATTTTCATACTCGTTGTTACTAGAAGATCAATTAATTTTTGGAAGTTTCCATGTAATATTAACCATCGGAAATTCTGAGAATTCGAGGAACTTTTGCTCTATTGAAAATTCAATTGGATGTGATATTTTTTCAGAACACTGAACATCCAATTGTAGCTGCCACATAAATTTCTAAAAATCCGAGATTGTATTAGAGAAAAAGGAATTTTATGGACAATCTCATATCAATTTTCTCCCTGAACCCAATGTCCAATGTAGGAGGGAAAGGCCAATAAATTTTCAAGTTTTCACTGGGACCTCAAGCGGATTCAGAGACTATCAAGTAGTATTTCACATCTTTGCTTGACCTTTCAATCGAACATAAATATCCAATAGAAAATTGAGCCGAATTTTGGATGCCAGACAATTCAAGAATGTGTTCTCCTGAATTGTCTTCATATTTTACTCATTTTCACTGAATGAATCAGCTTTAGGCATGTCCCAAGACAATAAATACCACCCAGAAGTTAGTCCCGATAGATTTCCAGAAAAAATTCTAAATTAATTAATTTATTACATTTCAGATTTAATTCTTAAGAGGGAGAATTTCTGGGGTTATGTGCAATGCCTCCTACATTTGTGATGTGATTATTCATTACTTCGGGAATTTCATTGCAATTTTTAACATGTTTGTTTTTTATTTCTTTACAGAGCCTCATGAAGCTAAACTATATTCAGCCAAACGTCGCATCCTTGACAATTAAATAATAGTGTTTTCATTTCTCCAAAAATCCCTGATTCCTGGATTAATCAACATCGCTTGAAGATGAAGACGTCTATTGATTAAGCTCTCTAATTTTACTCACTTTTAAAAATGTTTTATAACGGTTGCAGTTTAAATAATAAAATCATTGTAAAATATCCGGGAACTCGAGGTCAAAGGGTTTCAAATGAGCTTTGACCGTCTACTACAAAAGTAGAAAAGCATTCCACATCAGAAAAAAATAGCTAAAGTACTTGGATATCCCTAAAACCGAAGTTTTCACCAATTCCCTCATAAAACTCCAATCTTTCAAAAACGCTGGTCTGACCCTTCAACGAAAACCCACTTCGAAAGAAACAAAAAGTCAAATGGCCCCAGAACTTCTCGATTACGTGCAAACCCCTTAATCCCATAACAATAATTATCGAGACTGTTCATGTAAGACTTCTTACCGGCGAGTGGTGGCATTTTCTCAGGTTGCTCCTGTTCCCTCGCCAGCTCGCTGGTGTTGTTACTAGAATGTGGCCGAAGATTTGGAACAGCAACGAGAGCCAATGACAGTAGCAGTACCATGAGGCAGGTTGCCGGTTGAGCACTTTTGTTACCCTTTTGAATGAGCGCCTGCAATCGCTTGAGTTGGCCCGCTAGGCTCTGATTCTGTGTCTGCAGTGCCTTTATACGCTTGAGAAGAGTCATATTCTCCTCTGTGCACTGCTTAACACGATCCTCAAGCCCATCAACGTACTCCTTTTTCCGTTTGCGCGAGTCCTGCGCGGAGATCTTGTTGCGAATTTTACGACGAATTCTCTTCAACTCGCGTTCCTCTGGCTTTGTCAGTGGGTAATGCGTTGGCAGGGTTATTCCCTCCTTTTGGAGGAGACGTTTCTCCTCGGCGTTGAGTTTTAAGGGAGGATATCCGGAGCCTGGCTCGCATGTCTCGTCGTCTGAAGTCACACTTTTGTCGAGGCTTGTGTCTTCTTGCTTCACGTTCATCTGGAGATTGATTTATTATGGGATTATTGAGGGGATATTTGCGAGGGGATTGAGGGGGCCACATTTTCGGACGTCTCTCAACACGAATTAATGAAACACACTGGAGTCTAGACATTTCAGAAGGTGCAGTGTTAATCGAGTTTACATTGGTGAACATTTTTGGCTCGAATTTCTGGTACTATTCTTGAAAATTTTGAGAAGGGTATTGTTTTACTGAAATTTCAAGGAATTCCAGCATTGAAAAGTCACATTTTTATGGAAAAATCAATAGACACTGGGAATTTCAGTGTAATTATCCCATCAGAATGGAATAAAGTCTGAAAAATTCAGCGCAATTTGGTACTGAATATTTGTTTTCTTTGAAAATTCAAGTGAGTTTGAGAATTCCTGTGTTCTTGACGTTCGAAATGGGAAATTTTTATGAGTTTTCCGGAAAATCGAATTCAATGTCACTTTTGTGAAAATTTCTACTCAACTGTCCATAACATTTCAAGTAATTCCTTGAAGGAAAATTCACAATTTTATGACAATTGACAACAAAATTCAGATGAATATATTTCAGAATGTTTTATTAATTGAAAATTGAGCGTAATTTGGTACTAAATATTTACACGTTCTTAGAAAATTCAAGTAAGGTAGAGAATACCAGTTTTCCTGCCGCCCAAAAATGTGGAATATTCTTGAATCTTCAATAAAATCGAATTCATTACAACTCTTCTAAGAAAAGCTACTCAACTTTCCATGGAATTCCATTTTTTTTCTAACCATGTACTATAATTTTCATTTCGTAAACTAGATAACAAAAAACGAATGTTTTCCAAATGAAACATTTCGCGAAGACGAACTATTTCGTCAGGAACAAAATTTATTAAAATTGTAAAATGCTTTTAATACACTTCTGCTCATGTTGACCACTTTAGCATTCTTTGTTTTGTTGACAATGAATAAATCACCAAACAACCCTCAGTCCTTAGTGAATTAGTTAGTCAGTCAGTTAATTAGTTAATTTCATTAGTTCTCAGTTGTGTCAGATCCACCGTCACGATTAATGTGCCATTTATTACATTAAAAAATGTTCATAAACCCATAAATGAATAGAACTTACAGGAATAGCTTTGCTGATAACATTCCCCTGATTGATATGACTGATTTTAAAATTCTTCAGATTCCTGGCCTGCGTTGCATTGATAATCTTAATCGCACGTACTTCTTTCATATCTTTGAGACTAACTGGTAGGAGGATAGACCGTGGATGATTACCAGCACCAGACGGCGTTACACGAATCAATTGTCGGATATTTCTTTTGCCGTTTCCAGCATTGCGAATAGTAACTGTTGGCTCTTGTTTTATCATTTGTTGTGTAAGTGGAGCATCTGAAAATTGAGGAAAAACAGTCAAATATTGTGTTGGCATCGAACATTGGGGGATGGATCATCAGTTAGGGTTCTCGCCTTCACTCGTTCGTGCAAAGTTCATTAAAGATTACGTCATCCTGGAGATGACGCGTACTGACATACTTTAGAGAGACGACCTACGCGATTGTGTTCGCTTGAGCTCTGTTTGTCCTGATTTTTGGTAATACAGATGAATGTCTCAATTATCGCTGATGCAAAAATTGAGTATTGTCATTATCCTATGAATATAATTTGGAAGACTGGTTCACTTCGATCTCAGAAGTGAGAAAAGTACATCCCTTCCTTCATCATCAGCAATCAATGGAGTTAATAAAGGAAAAAATGAACTCTGCCAAAAACAGTTGAGCAGATTTACTTGAGGGAAATCAACCAACCTGATAAAAGGAAATTTAACATCTTTCATAAAAATTAAGTTTTGTCGTGATCATCAGAAATATCCCTAGAAGAATGGCAGGAAAAATATAATCCATTGTACGCCAATCATTTGATCTTAGAGAACTCCATAGGTTTATACCATAGAAAAAATACATTGACGAGGAAAAAATATTTTTTCCCAAAAAAAATGTCCCCTCGAAATTATTTAGTTTTCCCAATAACACAGTTTTCGGCAAGAAAATCGTAGTTTCCTCTTGGAATTATCATTTGTCCCGTGGAAATTATAAGTGTTTATTGGACAAAGATATATACTACTCAATAACATTCACTTGATAAAACCAGAGCCTCATATAATTCTCTGTAGAACGAATGTATTTACCCGAAAGACATATAAATGTCTCACGAGAACAATTACTACTACCAAAGTTATCATGTTTAGGTAGAAACTTTCTTTTTGTCCAGAAGTAAATTGATTCAACACGACAAAAGATCTCATCAGGGGAACATATAATTTTTCGGCAGAACTAATTTGTTCTCAGTGCAAGTTCTGTGGTTTTCAAGGCCTGTTGTACTGATTGATAGGGGATTTTGGGGATGATTGCTCTCATTGTCATTAGATATTTATCAATATCTAATCTTTTACGGATGTAATCTTATCATTTTTAATGTTGTTTACATTCTATCGGGTGAAAATAACACATTCATGTCACTGATGCCCGACACGTCGGGCTTTTTGACTCCATTTGGACTATTACATGAATATAATTCGACTTTTCAGCTCTATTATTATTCAGAAATTTCACCGAAAGGGTGTTGCAAACTTCTTTTTATTTTGATGTTCAAGAAAAAAGAACAGCAAAAGAAAAGAAGCTTCATTCTGAGACTTATGATGTCAAATTAAGACCTTTAAAAGTCTCAAACTGAGAAGTACAGTCTCGAGTTGAAAGACGCAGAATTCAACTTGAAGAAAAACTTCAGTTTGAGTTCGCAAAGTCTTACCTCGAGGCATTCAAAAGTCTCAATTTTATTATTACTATGTATTTATTGAGAAAGAATAGTATAGCTGGTATACGTCTATTCCAGTCTGAGTAACTGTAAACTTGTGATATTGTGTACAAAGTACTAAACCATTTATAATGTACATGATATCATATTAAACTCAAAAATTCACATTGCAATTTAAAATGGACGGGTGAAATGACCTGAAATTGTGCTGAACATCTCCACTGACTAGACCAAAGATTACAGAATAGACTCTGTGAATGCCCAACAGTAGTAATTTAAGAATACGAATCTAACATTTGTTCTCAAACGCTCGAAACTCAACAATGACTCTAAACAATGTTGAACAATTTGAGTCTATGAAAGTCTCAAATTGACATCTTCAAAAGTCTCAACAGACTTCGAACATCTCAAATTAAAACCTTCCAAAGTCTTTCAGACGTTCAGGCTTCAAATTAAGACACTTGAAGATCTTATTTTGAAACCTGTAAACTTTCAAAGTAAAGTATTACTTTAAGACTTTAAAAGATTTTGAAGGACAACATCACGTCAACATTTTTGGATGATAAAATCTTATTCTGATCCCACCTGAATCGCCCAAAAATTCAGGTTTCGACACCCCCTTTCAAGAATTTTCATCTAATAAAACACTCACCCAAGTCAGCCATGGGTTCCTGTTTTATAACCGGCATGGTCATTTCCGGGTTCTCCACAGCGCCGGAATCAACGACCGTTAGCATCGGCTCGAATTCCATTTCTTCATTGATGTCAGTGCCCGGTGAGCCCAAATTGGAACTCATGACGGACCTGACGGGGCTGTCGATGCTACCCATGGAGTCGTTCGGACTCCCGAGAGAGTCGAATTCTGTGTAATTTGGGGGACTGCTGATGCTGTCATTGCCAATTTCAACCTGATCATCATCGATAGGTAACAGGGGGCTCAACTGCTGCTCGCAGGAGAGACTGAGAGCGCTGGAGAGGCCACTGTCCGAGGATGACGACGGTATTGTCTCAAGATCATTGTCGATCAGGTTGAATTGGTCGTCCATGTTGAAGATCGAGCCGAACAGATCGTCTGTGTTTGATGTCATCCATTCTTCGGCCTGTAATCGTGAATCGACCGAGTTGTTGATGATTATGGAATTAAACATTTTATTTGAATGAAGTAAGCGATGATATTACAAGAAATATATCTGTCTGGTAAATGAAGAATAATGAATAATATAATCGAAGGAATGAATAAATAAATTACAAAATGAATAAAGCAATTCAAAATCAACCAAAAACAACGAAATCATGAAAAAAAATTGAAAATGTCTATTATCAAGTCATTTAGAGAGAATAGGTAGTCTAATAATATTTATAACGCCTTCCGTCACGCATATTAAGTTGAATGGCGTACAGTATTAATTTCACTATCAAACTTTATGTGTATTTAATTTGATTCTGTAATTTGTCTTTTTATATATGAGAAAAAAATAAAATGAAATGAAAAATTCAGTGCAAATTTTGAAAGTTTTTCCGAGGTCTTTAAAATTGAAATTGAGAATGTAGAAAATAACCATTTGCAACATAATAACAATACAAAACTGAATAAACTAAGGAAGAACAAATATCATACAGCAGCGATGACTAATCTATATTTTCAATGATAACAACCACATTTTATTATTCAAAGTCATGATATGCATATGTTCATGTGTGCGACCAGAAAACACGACTTTCCTTCGCTCCAAATTAACCCAAATTCCCGAAAGTACAAAAATATATTTTCGGCGATGACAACGAACGAGTAGTACCTGAAACAGCGATAAACCGTTCGTGGCGCGGGGAATTGGAACGGCAGCTGTGCGATATGTACAATCTTATCTTTATCGCGTAAAAATATGGTCAAGAATATTTACGATTAAAAAACTCGACCGGAAAATTTCAATTTGCCTGCACAGAGAGATGTCAAATTAAGAATCTCAAGGTTTTTATTTTGAGAGCCTTTGGGTTCTTAATTTCGGTACCCACCGGTTCTTATTTTAAGACCCCGAAGTACCGGATCCCACACGGAGAGAAATATTCAATAAAAATTATGGAACTGTTCACGTAATCCGTAAGCGAGAATTGTTTTCAGTAAGTTTTTGTAGGAATCGAAGGAAAAAATCTGTAACGTTCAGTGAATTCTTGAAAGTAGTCAAACCTCACAGAAATTTCATTACTTATTATGGCTCAGAACACAAAAATTCTTGGATGTTTAAGAATTTTTATTAAACTGGCGGGTTATTATCACGTCGAGGGTTCGGTAATTTTTCATTTCATCGTCATCGGACGGGTGAGCAATTTTTACAGAACGCATAATAGAGTTTATGTGACGAAACGTCAAATTTCAGTTCTGACTCATACATTTTACTGAATTTTGCTTCGCTCGCAGATTACGTTTTTTACGTTTCTTTCTGATAATTTTTAATGAATATGTCTCTCCATGCAGAAGCAAAGTGCCTAGATTTAAGGATATCCAAGTAGTTCGAGCAATTTTTTCGCGGGAAATCCTCTTCAGACTTTCTAAAATAGCCCAAGAGTTTTTTAGGCGCTATATCAGCCTTAAAAAAATTTAATTTTCCCCCTGATTCTCAGAGAAATTTCAATAGAAGCCATTCTTATCACACTGGCAACCAGAATATTTGTTCTTTGTATGCATAACTCGTATTGTTTAAGAAAGCCTCACAAAAACGGGCTCGACGAAATTTTCATCTGTTCAAGCAATGATAAAACCACGTGGACAAATTATCTTTTAAGACCTAGATGTTTTTCCTCAATATTTGTTGCTTCAGAATTTGAGACCTGAATAAACCCTCCGGCATATTTAGTCTACAATCGATCGATGTCTTCTCAGCGGAGAGATTCCGCTGGTGAAGGCAAAAGAGATTGTGCAGCGGTTCCCCCCAATCTGGTAAATTCATCTTTCTCTTCAATTCTCTCTTTCTCGAATTCATCTCTTTCACTCGTGCTACAGTTACTATATTAGCTGCACGTTGAATCAATGGCCGAATGTCTGCCCCAAATTCAGTGAATTGAGAAGACGAGGGGGAAGAATTCCAATAGGCACATGTTGTTTATAAAAACGAAATGAAAGTTTTCTAAGATATTTCATCTATTTCGTGGATGCACGTTCATTTCCCTAAGGAAATATAAGTATTCTTTCGAAAAAATGCAATTTTATTAATTTTACCAATTTTCTGTCAATTTTCGGCTCATTTGATTGTAATTTCGTAGTTTATCTGCGCGTCTTTTCCAACAAAAATATTTAATGGTAAATATTCAATGGAAAAAAAAGAATACGATTTCTCTATAGAATTCATTCTATCGGCGCATTAAAGCTGTGGAATTCTTCGATAGAATCGGCCAAAAACTACTAGAACTTTTAATAGAAGTTGATTAAAAATATAAAAATACAAAATTAAAGTTCAGAAAATTCTATAGACTTCATTGTTAATACATTTCCATTTTTTAAATAATTCCATTGGTTTATATTAACATTCGGATTAAAACTCATTGATCGTAAAAAATCTCACAAAATTTCCTATCGAATTCGTCAAGTTTTTCTATGAAATTTCGTCGTGGCTGTCCTCTTCTCACATTTTATTCAAGTTGTTTCCTGTTGTATTCACAACAAAATTTCGTAATAACTTCTGAGCATCAATTACCCCAGACGAGTCAACCATTTGCCCCCCACAAATCGTTATGGAACGGAGACAGTCGTCCCTCATATTCAATAATGTAATGGGAAAGTCTGGCGCCCCTACCACAACTCGAAAATGCAGTGTATTAGTGACTTACAATCACCCCGATGATTGCCCGAAAACGAGAGACCCCATAAAAACAGGTTTTTGACCTGCGTCCCGGGGGCACCCGGACTCGTATGTAAGGCTAACATTGTAAGGGATATTTATAAGAAACGACCATTCGATAACCAGTTCAGATATTTTCAGATTAACACTGCAGCCGTACAGCTTTGCTCATTCAACCATAATCTCACTCTCCAATAATATCACCGAAAACAAGTTGATATCTCGATTATTGCCCAGGCTGGAGTGATCACAAATTTTTTTTATGAAAAAACAGAAAAACGGCAATATCTCGAGAACTTTGGATGAACGAGTGCATGTGTTTTGATGGATTTGGATAAAAGTCAGCGAAACGAATATTTTGAAAAAATGAAAAATGAAATCCAACACGTAAAAAATTATTTTAAAAATATCTGAAATTGACCAAATTTAGACCAAAGAAATAGAGAACACATATAGTTTGTATGCATTTTTTATATATTCTTGATAAATTTGACAAATTTATATTTTTATATTATATTATCATATGATGTTAATTTATATTATCATTATTATATATATTTTTTATACATTTTTTGATATTTTTTTTATGAAAAAACAGAAAAACGGGAATATCTCGAGAACTTTGTATGAACGAGTGCATGTGTTTTGATGGATTTGGATAAAAGGCACCGAAACGAATATTTTGAAAAAATGAAAAATGAAATCCAACACGTAAAAAATTATAAAAAAAATATCTGAAATTGACCAAATTTATACCAAAAAAATATAGAACACATATGGTTTGTATACATTTTTCATATATTCTTGATAAATTTGACAAATTTATATTTTTATATTATATTATACTATCATATGATGTTAATTTATATTATCATATTATATATTTTTTTATGGTTGATCGGATAAAATATTTTCAGAAAAAGTTGAATCTCCGAAACTACTGATGCGATTGAACCCATCTTCAGTACGACCTGTTGTTATCATGAGAGGAAGCTTCTGTCCAAATTTCAAATTGATATCTTGACTTTTGCACAAGCTACAGTGATTACAGACTTTATTATGAAAAAAACGAGAATATCTCGAAAACTTTGTATGGACGGGTGTATGTTTTGATTGATTCAGATATAAGGCGTCGAAGCTATTATTTCGAAAACAAAAAAATCGAAATCGGTCACTAGTGGAAAATGATTTAGAAACGAATCGCTTTTTCTAAAACGAGATCGAAGAGGCAATTTGTTACATTTTATATGACTCATCACATTATTATTGTAAATTGATTGGAATAAATATGTTCTTTCACCTATACGGATTTCTATAGAGAAATATTACTAAGGGGAAATTCGTGGGAAGTGATGCAAACTTCTATTAAAAATCCATATTTTTTTTATTCCAAAGAGACAGAAATTTCCATCGAGAATCAATAGAAAATACGCCAAAAGCTACGAAAATTTGCGCTGGAAAGCGAAGGATTTTCGAGAGAAATCTATGGAAACTTCTATTAAAAGTTCTTGAAAAAGTCCTCCAAATCCATGAACACTTCAATTCAGTAGCGAAGTGTTAAAGTGATTCAAGTCGACTTATCTCCCAGTTGAGTTTTTGAGGAATATTTCGGAATCTAAGGAAGATAGCGAAATTTCTGTAATAACATTTTTTGTAGCTCTCAATCGGCCCTAAAAAAAAGGTTATGACAAAAATTTAGCTGCCTCCCGTAGATTTCGAGATATTCATTGAAAACTGGTCAATAGTCAAAATTGACTTGTACCGTTTTACCACTTCGCTGCTGAATTGTACATGTTCCGTTGCAAATCTCTAACACGAACATCAGCACAATTAGTAACATCAAAATGATCAACAAAATTACCAACGATTTCTCTTTCCAAAATTTAGGAATAAACGTGTGACATCTCCTTTTTATAAAAGAGAAAACCATTAGATCGATCGGGCTGAAATTTTGCACAGAGTTAGTCCTCATTAAGACTTATAATCCGACGAAATTTCAGACGTTTCGGAGCTCCTTCAGCCACCTAATTACCGAATGTCATATTTTTACGCTTTCGACAACTCCTCATAATTTCCACTCAAAATCAGAGAATGTGCAAATTAAACGCTCACAATACTTCCATTCGAAAGCAATAAACACCCCGAGAGACACTCAACCAGAGTTTCCATATTCCCACATAAAGCACAATGTCCAAACCCCCATTAAACACATTATCTTCGCAACTAAAATGCGAAAATAACGAGTTCATCATCCTGAGCCCACTAATAGTCTCCCATTCAGCAGTGAAATCGAGGTGAAAGTCACAATGCTAAAGTCTCATGTGAGATAGAACAATTGTTGAAACACAAGTGCATGATAAATCCCGCATCCATCATGGCGGTGCGCGATAGCAGCGATGCCGGCACGTGCTGTTCCATATGTTACTTCAAAAATCATTGAATAAACCGCACAAAACTCATTCCTCACTAAATACATTATCCTCATTGCCTCAATTAACCAATTCTTCGGTGCTTGCGAAACCCTCGGGTACAATTCCTGTCGCAATCGACTCCATAAAGTCATTTCCGATGGGCACGGGGGACAAGTGGGGTAAAACGGACACTTGTGACTCCTCTTCAAATATCGATAAATCCCTCTATTTTCAATTAAATGGATCAATTTTTCTTCTTCAATGGAAAGTACACCCCCTCCCTCAACTGATAAATTTATTCCCGAGGTATGAACATCGAAAAAACGACAAAAGTGTCCATTCTGCCCCAGCCCGTCCTATCAGAATGAAATGAATTTCAAATACGCAATTTTTCTAGTTTAAAAAATCGACTACTGCGACTCCCCATTGTGGATCCCTCGTACCATATGTTATTTAGGTATTCAAGGAAACTCATCTCAGTGTTTGGCTCAAGGAAAATCCCCAACACCGATTTAATGACTCTTGACCGAAATCCCCGCATTATTTCTTCTCTTCCAATCACGAAAATCCATCAATAAAAAATTCATAAAACCGGTGGTTTTTATTCATTTCCAGTTTTCATCTCCAGTCTCTCGATAAAATTTTTGTCCTCAAACGAAACGAAAAAAAGCGGTTGAAGTGCACGTGTTGACGCCCAAATTTTCCCCCGAATTTGACAAATCGGGTGGTCGTTAGCTTTTGATTTATAAATAGGCATTCACCTCCCGAAATCATGAGCCCTCACAGGTGTGCGGTCATTTGCCCGGCAGAAGCAAACAGTCCGCGAGTAACGGTACTACTAGGCATTTTTTAACGGTGCAAGAATTCCTGAGCGATTGAATAACCCACGATGCTCAATGATAAATCATTAAAATGAGCTTTCCCATTTTATTAATTTTATTTAGTCTCCGGGGAGGCCTTCGAAATGTCTTTTTGAGTGAGAAGCCCATTACAAATGCTCGATTACTCACCGCGATAGTCTCATTAACGCAGCTTTCCTTCATTAGTACATCGTCCTTGATGTTTTCCTTGAGCATCGGGTCGTCCCGATCGAACAGATACTGCATGAGGGTCATCTCCGGAGACGTAGACGTCATCCTGACAGTTTAATTCCAATGTGACAGTGTGAATGAGTTTATTTCACTAGGCACTGCGCATCACTCACAAGTTCCATGAATAAGATAAAATAAGGGAGGAGGACGTTAGAAATAATAAAGCAGCGGGGAAAAACACGGAGACACATGCGTCACAATCGGCACGATGAGTCCAATAACGAGTTTAGTGCATGGATTCTCAGAGCAGCTTGTGTGCTCACTCGCCCCACCCCAAAAGTGATAGGCACTCAACCGGTTTCGGAGCACTTCATGGTTTTTTTTTTTGGGGAGTACCCAGACCGAATGAGTTCACAGTCCGATTTTTTCGGGCAACAATTGCCCAATTTTTATCGAGACATTTGGGCGAGGAGGTTACGATGGATTATTCAATTACGGGAACTGGTCACTTGCGAGGTGGACACTTTGGTCATCCACTTGCGAATGACAAAATAGAACGCATGCTGGTAGGGGAATGCCAGCGTGGCAATAAACGCGTCAGAGGGGACGCCAAGCCAGGAGATTTGGAGGTGTTCGATTGGCTCGGCCGCACGGGGGTGGGGGCTGCCGCGGCTGGCGATTGGCGCGGCTGTCACGGGAGATTCGGCGCGGGTTTTTGAGAGAGCGATGAGGATTGTTAATGTTTTTCCCGGATTGCATCAGGGGATCGATCGCGGGAGGGGACGGCAGATGGGGTTCGGCATGGTGAGACATTGTCAGAGTATTTTCGGTTATTGCGTTTTCTGCGAGGGAAATTACGCATTTGAGGAGAGTACAAGGCTTTGTTTGAAGGTTTTTTGTTTATTAGGAGTATTTTTGGGTGGAAACTAAGAAGGTTGTATATCTGTTTTGATAGAAATGTTTGGAAGGTGAGGAATGAATCAGCTAGTCAGTCCAAGTAAATGATTATGATTTTTTGATTACTGTTGATTGGTTTTAGATAACAACAGGAATGGGAAGAACTTTAGGTTTGAATGAAAGATTTTTTATGATTTATTTGATGAAAATATAATATTTAAATGGAATTTTTTGAAGAGGTTTTCTTTTTTTGTAGACTTTTGGGGGATAATCTGCGATTGTGAATATAATTTGGAATAATCTGAAATTGTGAAACCATGTTTCACGAAATTTATAAACAAATATTCAGGTATTGCGATTTCTGCAAGAGAAATGACGCATTTGAAGAGAAGAAAGGCTTTGTTTGGAATTTTCGGATTTCGATAGAAAATTTTTGTTAGGAATTAAAAAACTTATATATTTATTTCAATAGAAATGTTCTAACTATGAGATGTGGATTACTCATTAATTGTAAATGAATGATAATTATTTTTTTATGACTCATAAAGTCTTTTTCTGGATACGGAGGACATTTTTTTTAGATTTTTAAAAATCTATTGATTTGGTATGATTTATTTGAATAAAATAAACCGTTACTATGGATTTTGAGATGAATCTCAAATAGAGTTTTTTGAAGAGGTTATTTTATTGTTGATTGTTGACTTGGGGGGGGGGACAATCTGTAAATGGAATTGTGAAACAATGTTTTAAGAAGTTTATAAACAAATTTTCAGGTATCGCATTTTCTGCGGAAGAAATTACACAATTGAAGAGAATAAAAGAATCGTTTGGAATTTTTCCATTTATTTCAATAAAAATATTTTAACTGTGGAGAATGAATAGTTTATTCATTCTAAATGCATAGTTGTTATTTTTTAATGACTTATAGTCTTTGTTTAAATCAAGAAAACATTTTTTTATATTTAAAAAAAAATGATTTGGTGTAGATAAAAACACGAATGAAAATTGAGTTTAGGTTTAAATAAAAGATTTATTATGATTTATTTGATTGAAACAGAAGGGATTGTTTTTATTTTTATTCGCAGACTTTTGAGGGCCAACCGGCAGGGGGATTGGAATTTGAAAACAATGCTTCTTAAAGTTTATAACATTTTTTTACGTAAATCGACAGGAGTATGTTGATTTTATTTTTATTTCTTCAAAATTAGCGATTGGTTCATTTTCGCTTATTGAGATTGCTCTGCAGTTATCTGAATTATTATACGTTGATGAAATAAATTTATTGTTGACTTCCATTGTCAATGTCTCAGGGGGGGATTGCATCAGGAACTCGATAATGAAAGTTGGAACGTGAGGCCTGAGGGCAGATGCTGATGTTGATAATAACGCGATATTGTTGAAATATTTTCCTCGAAGGAATTTCAGGGGATAGTTTTTACTTTGATGATTCATAATAGTTCATTATGTATTTATAATTTGTTTGCTATCTGCACATTAAATTTTTCAAATCAACAATTTGGAATGCAATGAAAAAAAGAACAATTTAGTAACGTTGAGTTTTACTCGTGAAGTTTATTACAAAACTGAAATTTCGATAGATTTATTTATCAATTGGATTATTGATTTTTGAAAATTGTTTAAAATTCTTTCTTCCTGGCTGAGACTGTATTTCAGTTGTCTAGACTATCGTAAATCGATAAAAGGGAAGCGTATTGTCTGTGGGTAAGATAGGAATGTTCGTGGAGCCACTGTTCAGTTCCACTTCAAGCGATTTTTCGCCTGAAAAAATTTAAATATTTCATCAATTGGGAAAATCAATTTTTTCTTACACACTGAGAAAAAATTCTAGTCTCTGAAACGTCTTTCCCTGAGACAAGTAATTTTTCTTCAATTGTTTAATTCTCTCAGGCATATTAACTCACGTGACTCAATCATTCAACGATTCACATTCAAAAGCATCAACTTGAGTTTATGGAAGTCTCAACTGGACAATTTGAAAATGTCAAATTGACCGCTTGATACTTTAGAATGCCTCAAGTTAATTCTTTCAGAACACAACTCGAATTTTTTTTTAAGGATATCCAAGTACTTCGTTCAAATTAGCAACTTTTTTCAAGCAAGGTTTTAGTTTTGTCAAAAATCTTGTCACCCCCTTACTTTTTCGAATTTTTCATTGTTGAATACATTTTTTTGGAAATTTCTTGAATGAATGTTGTGAACAATATTTCATCCAATTTCTCGCTTGACTCTCGTTGGTCTAATCGGTAATGATCATTCGGCAACACTGCACATGTATTCCATATAACTTTTCATCACGTTGTGCGAAAAAGTAACTTTTTAGGCACTCTTATGAACGCAACGTATTAAATTTTATTTTTTCAAAAATCGTTTTCTCGAAAAACTTTTCGGCAATTAAATAATGAAATAATTAAAATTAAAATTATAAATAAAGTAATTAAAATTTTTTAGGCGCAATTGATATTGCGCCTAAAAAATACTCTTGATCTATTCTATAACCTTTGAAGAGGAATTCCCTGGATTCCCAGGAATTCCCTGGGGAGAAATTGCCTGAACTCCTTGGACATCTTAAAGCGATTGAAGAAAAATTACTTGTCTCACGTAAAAACGTTCCAAACATTAGAATTTTTCTCAGTGTATTTTGCAGCAATAACAATAAATTCGGAAAAGTATTCGCATGAGCGAATTAATTTTTTTTCATTCAATTAGATCAATTATTCCCGAATAATGAGGAAGCTTGATGAGTCCACGGAAAATGCTGTAAAAAGCAGTTTCATTACCGAAGCTGGGATGCGAAGAAAAATCGATTATTCGAGTTGCGAGTGAGAATAATGAACTTTTTTATTCTCAATAAACACTCAACAAATTGCCCAGAATTCTTCTCGCGACAAAGTTGACGATAATTGGAATACAATTATCGACCAACAGGTGGTGACACAAATAATTACAGACATCGCGCAACAAAGGATACATTCATTAAAAGCATAAATATGATGCATCCCTATTCCGGCTGTTCCCGCGCCTCGTGCATTACAGCGGAATGAGTTGAATAGGTCACGTTGATTCAATTATAACGAGAGTTCAGTGTTACCATGTCACTTAGAGTTGATGGATGTAATTAAAACTTCGCCAGCATTTCAAAAAACCTTTCGTTTAAATGGATGCGCTGTGACGGTCGGGCGGAGCAGTCCTCGTGAATTCAATATTCGAAAGTATTCTGGCTAATTAGGGCGACATTTCTGTGCACAAATCATTGAATTTCCTTGTATTACGGAGTTGTATTGGATTAAAGTACTTGATGAGCCACTCACGCCGTGACGGAGTGACAGCATAGCTTCGGAATGGAGCCCATTTTACATGATTACAGCGGTTATTTAAATGATTACGGGAGGATTTCAATGACTTCAAGTACGACGCAATGTGATTTCATGACTGCAGTTGACTTCGAATAATTTCATTAATTCAAAATCAATGATATTGTTGAATGATATTTAATTAAGAATGAGTGTTTATTAGAAGATTTAAATCATGAAAATAAATATGAACAGGACACACGTGAAAAAATTCAATAGAAAACCTAGCGAGTTCGCTAAAAAATTCTGTTGGAATTCTATAGGAATTCTATGGGATTTCTATAGGATTTCTATTGGAATTCTGTTAAAAAATTCTATTTGTTTTTTGCGCTGATTCCATTAGATATTCGATAAGAAAAAGTCAATATATTTCGAATTCCTTTTTGGAATTTCTTCTGGAGATTTTTTCTATAAGAATCGTTGAGCATCAATTTTCTAAGTATTTTCCAGTGGAAAAAACGTGGAAAATTTGTGCCCAATATTTTTTAATAGAAAAAATCTCAAGAAAAAAATTCCAACAGAAATTCGGAATTTATTCACTTTTTCTTATCGAATATCTAATAGAATCAGCGCAAAAAACAAATAGAATTTTCTAGCGAATTCGCTAGGTTTTCTATTGAATTTTTTCATACGCACTGAGAGAAATTTCAATGGTAATTTCAACTACAAGGGAATTGTCAAAAAAATAATAGTTACGATAACAATAAACATTGTAGATTCAACTATTAGATTAACGTGAAAATTACATCATAACGTTGATGATACTATTTGACATAGTAAATCGAACGATGAATCTTAGTTTAATCTACAATATTTGTTGTTACTGTAAATATAATTTCTTTGACAATTCCCTTGTAGTTAAAATTATCATTGAAATTTTTCTAGCTGCGTGGAGTGACTCGTCCGCGGGACAGGAACGGAGATCCTTTCGTAAAAAGGAGAAAGGAAATAAAAAAAAAATCGATCAAAAAATTAAAAAAAAGTCCTAGCCCGAATGGGGTACAGTTAAGAGTAAGACGGCCCATGGTAACGCAGAAAAAATCAGCAGAGAGAAGTGGGAGAGACAAGGCAGAGGATGGGGAGCCTATAAAACCGTAATGATAGTAGGAAAGAAATATGAATAAAAAAAAAAAAATTAAAAATTGACAGCAGCGAAGAAGACGTACATTCTTCCACATCATCTAGTTGTAAAGCTTCGGGATTTGTTGTGGAATTGAGAACATTATTCTTCCGCTGTGCATTCTTTCAGCAATCCACACTCACCGAGTTTGAGGATATAATCCC